TACTGCCTTGTCCCTTGTATGCTGTCAACAGACAGGCAAATTTTGACAGGCAAAATAATTAAGTTTAAAGGCCTCCAAAAAAGCTAAGATCAAAGTGAACCTTTCTAACACTGCTGAAAAGGGCAGTACTAACCCCCTCACACAAAAACACACTCAAACCCTTTACCCATCATTTACATCCTCATCTGTCTTTTAGTTTGGTGGTTATTTGTTACCTCTTAGTGCTAACTGCAAGTACAAAACCCAGTAACCCCCAAGCACAATCTCCAACTGTGCAAGTGTCCAATTCATCGGTTACAGTTTCATATGCAAATCAGAATGCTAGAAAAATATGTACAGCTACATGACAGGAAAGTATCACTTATGCCAATGTAAGAAGTTAAAGTAAATGCTCAAAATAAATAGCAAGAAAAGCTGAAAAAAATGTAAGCCGCTAAAGGTCTCAAGTCACTCAAAACTGAGAGCATACAATCAAAACATGTTCTCAGATTAGAGATGAATTAAGTATTTGCAGCTTCATTTAATTTTCGTATTATTCACTACACAAAAAGATTATATTTTTGTGCTGAAACTTTTCTTTATCATTAGTTTATCAAGGTAAATTATTTTGATCAGAATGGGAAGCCTAAGAGACATGTTGTTGAAGGCCAAGTAGGCACACAAGACAGGTTTTCAAATGAGCTCAATCAAATGCAAATTTAACGAACTGTTAAACAAGAATTTTTTAGGTCTTGTGCTGTAACGTATTTAATCAGCCAACTCACTTTTCTTGTAACATTTTAGATTAAATATGAATGTTTCTGAAAAAAAATACTAATGTATATTTTATTCTTATTCATTCATCTCGTCAAAGTGCATTCATTAATTCTCCAATGATGCTGATTTTAAACAGGGATAACAAGACAGCACTAAAATAAAACACAATGAACTGACTGAATACTCCCAGTTTATGCAACATACTGCCCTTTTCTTCCCCAAGACATTAGAATGTTATAGCTAGTTTGCAGAGTCCCAGTTTAAAGAGTTACAGCCCATTCCTGGTACAGAAACTGTCTGAGGTAGTCTCGGGGTGCCTTTTTCTGGGACACCCATCTCAGGGACTGGTCAAGGACAGATCACATCACCTCAGTGGCCTTGTTTCCAATAATCTGTCAGGCCAAAAGTAGAGTTTTTAATTTTTACAGTTGGTTACAGACTTACAGCTTACAGCTGTATCTGACCTGTGGATCCAATCACAGAAAAGAGACTTCTGGAGCACTGCACCACTTCCACAGACTGGCCAAACCCAGGAGTGGAACCCCATTGATCATGTGTTGAATATTCTCAGTCACTCACTACAGGATCTCCCTTAAACAAACAGATTCTGCGTCAAGAACTGGCGACAGCCCCAAAGACCAACAGCTACGGATTTCCTTCATACAATGTGCTGCCTGCCTAACACATTGCAAAATAAGCAGGTGCACCTTCAATATTTGAATACTTACTTTCCATATGTCTAATCCATCAATACATATAGAATGAATACTGTATATCTGTCAATAAATAAATCAAACAGCATAAGAGACCTACAGTAATTACATGGTTTACCAGCAAAATACAGAATTCACAAACAATTAAACACCATCATATAGGGAAATTATGTTATGATTCAGTCTACACCTCTAGTTATGTGTAGTGAATCAACAATTGACTTCTGGGTCATTAAGCTGATTTAATGCTTGTTGCAAGTCATTCTCATCTAAATAACTGTAAAATCAAACATAAATGCTGTCCTTACTTTTTGGATATATCTTTAAAGGTTTCTCTTTCGTCCCCTGGGTTGTTAATGAGCTTCCATGGTAGTACACTGCCCTCTAGTGGTACACTTGGCAAGTCAATACTCAAATCTGTTACTCAAGTTGTCTTAAATCTACTCGTTTCAGACATACTGTACTCTACACTCCATTATGGATCTGAGATTATTCTTAATGTAAACTAAATTTACTTTTCCTAAGGAAGGATATGTATTGGTTGCCAAATAAATCAGTGATGCCAAGTTCAGCTTCTTGTCATTTCTGCTTCTTCCTGAACATTAAGAACTCCCTCACTATACAAGAATCAACATATCTCTGTATTCTACTAAAATGCAAAGTAAAAAAAGGGCATTTTTCCACATCAGTATCTCTTACAGTATCCAAGTACAATAGCTTCAGTTAAGGTGGCATAGTTATTTTCATTAGAGCCTAAAATCAGAAAATTAAGCTAAACGCAAAACACTGCGCAATAACAAGGCATATTAATGACCAATCAAAAGCAACTATGAAGCCCAGAAAAGGATCCTACCTTTCAGTGCAGCTCACTTTCCAAACAACAGAGTGGAAGTCAGAGGCCTGTAAAAGGCTGTATTTCAACCAGCCTTTCCAACAAACCAGATCAGACACCACATTTAAGCTAAATGCCTTACTGAACAAAATAGAACTGATATTTATTTTTTATCTGACACACTGATATTGTAATAAAGTCAAGACAGTTTAGACTTTAAACTTGATGTCAATACACTTATTGCCACAGAGCACTGTGAAACTGATCTTACTCTGTTAAAACTATCTATTATCTCTAATGCAACACTCCTCATTAGAAAATCAAAGTTGAACAATACTAATTATGTAATTTCCCGCTTTCGAAGTATAATATAGATCCTTCCTGGAAATTATATTTCTTTCCAATTCAAATTCAATTTTTGCCAATGTCTAGCATCTTTATTTACATTTCTGGTTATGCTGCAAAAACAATCAAAAAACCTGCACAATCTGGTATTTTAAAATTGTGAAATTATATTGCCTCACGACAATAGTGTGCGCACCAAAAGGAGAAAAAACTAAAATAAGTATGATTCCATCAGATAACAAAAAATGCAACATTAAATTTATGAAAGTTAATAACATATGTACAAGACAGTGTTAGTGCTTAGTGCTTCAGTTTTCCAGGACAGTATATATAAAATATATGCTGTCTGCTTTTAAAACACTGTTCTGCATATGGAGGACAATATTAACTCTTTTCTGCACCATCAACAAAGAAAATACAAACAGCCTCTTCAAAATTATGATTAAATTATAAATGTACTTCAAGAAACAAATTGTATAAAATCCCAAATAGTGTGCTTTACTTATTCTGGATATTTTTATATTTTGCAGAACATCGAATTTGTCCCTACAGTGCTCAAGTTATTAAATTCTGGTTTAAAATCGACAATCTACTTGTCCACTGTTGATCCCGGTGTGGACAATTTCTGTTCCATCTCAAAGTAACCAGAATGTCTTCTAGTAGAACCCCAGTCACTGCTGATCTTTCATAAATACTAAAGCCAACGAAAGCAAATATGTAAAAGATGCCTTTTACAATGTATACCCTGCACTGTAACCTATTATTATCAACAAAAATAACTTTTCCTGTATTTTCTATTTCCTGTATCAATAAAACAAGTTAACTGAAAACAAGTTAAGTTTTTTAATATTCATTTGTCAAGGTTTCCACGTTCCCCTTGAACAAACAAAAAAATTGCAATTCTCAAACACTGTATTATGCAAAACATTAGGTTTATTGGTGCGTGGCTAATTATACTCAAAGGAAGGCTAGAAATGATTCTGCATTAAAAGAAGAAAAAAAATTAAAGGCAGAAACATGTATCATGGACACTGTGGAATTTTAATATTGTATGACAATAATCATTTTATTTAAAAAAAACACACATTTCTGATTGTAGTTTTTTTGCTTCTCGGCTCGCAGTTACACCCAGGAAAGGGGGAGGAAATGTAGGCAGGCTGGGCCAACCCGCCCACCTTCGAGGCAGCAGAGACAGTGCCCAAGGCTGGGGGGAGTCCCGGTCTCAGTCAGCTCGAGACAGAACCTAGGCTTAAACCCGGGATCACAGAACCTCACCTGTGCTCGTGTGCGCACCTTTACGAGCTTGAACTTGAACTTGAACTTTGCCATATGTAACCGGTACTGGTACAATGGAATTCTTACTTACAGAAAGTCTCTCGATTGTAAAAACAAGTGTAAGAAACAAAACAAAGTGTAAACAGTGCATCAAGACAATGTACAAACAAACAATAGACAATGTGCAAGTAAACATGCAGACAGTTTGAATGTAAACAATACAGACGTGTAAACAATGACTGGAGACGTACAATAAATAAATTACAATGAGGTAGATGATGATGGTGTAGGTGTGGTCCGAGGGGGATGGCTAAATGGGTTCGCCAGTCTCACTGCTTGTGGATAGAAGCTATTGAAGAATCTAGTGGTAAGTGTCCGTATGCTCTTATATCTCTTGCCTGAGGGCAGTGGGGTGAAGAGCTCATGCCCTGGGTGGTGACTGTCCTCTGTGAGCCATTCGGGAGACCCACAGTACTGTAGCCTGTGGTAGGTTACTGCTGGTTTAGGGAGATAACACACTATAGCAGCTCTGGTGGATCAGTGACTTTGAGATAGTTTCAGGGAACACTAGTAATTTATGAGGCCAAGTGCACATGCTGTTCTGGCAACATACTAAGGATCCGACGATATTCCGGCGAACAGTACTATGGATCACGTAGTTGAGTAAAGGTCACAACACTGTGTGTATTCTGCATGTCAACTATACTATATGCAGTATACTGAGATTCAGGATAAACTTATCACGTTTAACTAATAAATTCACAGTTATTGAATTATTGTTGATGATGGAGATGTTTATATGATCGCATCACTGTCTTTTATATGAGGTTTTTCCACTGATCTAATGGTGTAGTACTCACATTTTATATTAAGATCCTATTCTTAAATGAACAAACGATATGCATATATTGTAGGTGGATACCTGCAAAGCAATACTGCCAAGAAGCAAATAGTGCTTTTGTGAACAAGACGTACATCATTTCTCAAAATTACATAAGAAATTGACACATTGAAGCAATTTACATTTTGAGATTTGCATTAAACCATTACATGCAGATGTTTAAACAATCTTCACTTACTTTAAGTATGTTCTGAGTTTCATTCCATTTGTTTGTCCATTCCTTTGTCAGCTCTATTACCTATCAAGATGTATATCAGTCAGTAACAATAAGGAATTAAGGGGTTCACCAAGTAGAAATTGCTTTCATAAGACAAAATCTGTCAGACTGTAAAAGGAAATGAAAAGATTTTTTAAATAAACAACTACAGCAAAAAGAAAAAAGGAAAAAAAAATCAATTGCATATTTTCCACTCACTGAAAAAATACTGCAGTTTCTTGCAGGCAAAATCATTAATAGTTTAAATTAGTGCTGGAATTATCAAGAGGGGGAAAAGATACAGCTAAGCACAAGCAAAAAAACACAGATAATTCTTCAGTAAATCAATTCTTTAAAATGTATAGAATAAGCCATTATTTGGACAGCTAAAAACACATTGGCATTAACTTACTCTGGCTTCATTTTGATGAAGCTTCTCTTCCATACTTAAAGCTGTAGGAGAATCCAAAAGTGCAATCTAAGAAAGAAAATAACAGTGCAGTTATTTATGAGAAGAAAGCAAACAACCTATGCTAAACTTTTAGTAACATCTTCAGTAAAAAAAATATTAATCCTAATTTTTAATTAATTGACAACATGCCAGACTGAAAAGCCGAAGAAGATATATTTTCTGAACTTCTCTATTTCACTATTATGCGCTAATTAATTTTAATTCATTTCTTAATTACGTTATCAACATACACTGTTTAACCATTACATAGAGTACTATTCACGGAGATTATTTTTGTCAATACAATGTTGTAAAATGACATCAGCAAGCAGGCATGAACACCAACCTGGTTGCCTTGTGCTAGCAGTGCTTTTAACCGTGCTATTTCAGCCCGCAGCTCACGGATTAGTTTAACATTGGAGTCTTCATTAATGGTTGGCTTATTGATGATGTTTTTGGCTCGGTTTGCATAGCGAAGTGTGCTTAATGTCTCCCCATAGTTGACATCAGCAGGTGAGACAGCTAAAAAAAAAAAAATGGTTCCACACAACACCTTGAAAACCTTAAAATTACTGAATGTGACAACATGTGACCTTTCCAAACTACACCACTACAGGGTATTCCAGAAGTACAATGTAAGTTAGCCTCAGTTACAGTAGGAGGATTCTCAAAGTCCTTTTATTCATTCCCAGTAAAGTATTCAGGTGTAAGAAAAACAGACAAAAAAAGAGAAAAAACTGGATTTAATTTGATATAGTTATGCACTTGAAAGGGAAAAGCAGAACTTTATTTCTGTCTTCTGTTAGATCACTGACAATGGGACTTTAATCGAGTATTCAAGAGAAGAATCCATAAATTCATTTTCAAAAGCACATACTGTACATAGACGCAGGCTTTTGTATTAAAATCTTTGAAACCATGAAAACAAGACTGGCATTAAAACCTTGAAGGTATCATAGAATTATATATACTTACTTGCAATCATGATAGTTTTAGAATTTCCACCAAGACTGTCTTTTAACAGCCATGTTAATACAGAGTCTCTATAAGGCACAAAAACCTGTTTCTTCTTTACATGGGAGCTCACAGCCTCCTGAGATAAGTCAGCTAGATAAAGAACAGAGCACACTTTTGAAGAGGTGTCACCAAAAATCAAACTAAAAAATTCATTACATTGCAGGAATAATGTGACTGAACTGAGCTACTGTATGTAATAGTTTATGTATCTGGTCATTAAGGACAAATCATCCAAAACACATAAAGCAAATACCAAAAAACATACAGTACTGTATATTTTAGACATTAAACTTAGGATTTTTTGTTATATGGTAAGTCAAGCAATTTGCTTCTTTGAAAATATTTCTACAATTCAAAATAAAAATATTTATTTAAATATTTAATGACATTGTCATAGTGATGCATACATAATAAACATGTACCTGTATGAGTGGTGATGTTTATACTTTGATAAACCACACTTATTGCTCTATATTGAACTAGATATACAGTACCTACCTAAAGCAGAAATGACATTTCCCAGAGTGACAAGTGATTTGTTAATGTTTCCTCCTTCTTTTAACCTTACTCCTGTAGCACCTGTGGCATCTGCTCGCTCACTGCCAGCCAAATCCACCAAATGAATTTTACTGACTGTTTCACAGGGCATTTCGGCATCAAATTTAGCCTGGAGACAGAAGACAGCAATTGAACTAAGGACAAAGAGTGCAACCTCTGGTTCATAAAAGAAATAAGGGCTTGAAAAATGCAGTTCTGAGACTAAAGCAATAATACGGATTTGCGTTTAAGTTATAGGACATGCAATAAGAGTCCACGTTTAACTGTGTGAAAGTAAGAAATTCAACACCTCCATCTGCAAACACACAGATGTAATAAGTCGTTATAATTATTCACATTTGAATAAAGGCTTTGTTAAAGCAGCAGTTACTGTATATATCATAATACAGTAGATATACCTGTGCTTTAACTCCTTTGAAAAGTGAAACATCAGACATGAATGTTATATAAAAGAACTAAAGAGACAATGCACCAAACAGATATTCCAAACAAATCCATCTGGAACATTTTTGGGATGCCTTAAGGATGTGCAAATAATGAGTATATACATACTCAATAAAGGTGTACAGACAAATGAAAGACAAAACTCTTCAAAACATTATGAATTCATTTTTCTCTCAAGAAAGATGCGGCACGATTCCCCAGCTGCGCACAAACTGCTTCGACAGGCTTGTCTGAAGCAAGCTCGCCGGGCGATAACATGTGCTGGCTGATCCACCCCAATGGCTGCCATATCCATATCAGGAAGTGTGCTAATTAGTACGGTATAAGACAGCATGGCAGCTATCAGGGATGACAAGGAAAAGCTTTCGCAGGAAAGGAATTAATGTTCATTTCAGTCCACTTGCCTGAGTGAAGTTGATGGTGAAAATGGCATGGGACCTGCTGCTAACATCATTCATCCCTGTACTGGCAGTGGTTCGGTTAATATTTCCAGCTTCCATGAGCTCCTCCACATCACTGTAATTCTGAACCAGGTGTTTTGACAAATCTGGATGGATGTAAAACAAGGCTTTACAACTCCTGCTAGAAATCCCAACTCACATTCTAGGTACTCAAGTAAATATCCAGACATTTGCTGCCAAAAGACCTTTATTGTGCATTTTTCTCAGGGTGCTCTTAACTGACTCACAATACTTAGCCCTCTTTTCATAAAAATACACTACTTTATTTTTGACATTTAAACGGCTGTAATGGCAATAATGGAACTTCAACTAAGCAGACGGAATATCCTATGTGGCTGGCATTTAGCAAAGTGAGTATTATTATTATTATGATGCTTTTATACAGAGCAACTTACATTTATATACTGTAGATGGGCATTTTATTGAAGCAATGAGTGTGAAGTACCCTGCTGCTCCAGGTACAACAGCAATGGCCCCACCCACACCCACCCCTCCAATTACAAGTCTAGAGCCCAAGACAGAGCCTATTTTATTTTATTTCATGCTCCAAAGCAAGATAAAAACATTGTACTAAAATGCACATAAAAAAAATTCCATGATTTATGTTTGTTTCTGCAGGGATGGCTGAATTTTCTTAAAAGCAATTAGGTAACTGCAGCTTACCCTCAACATAAGGTCCGTCTTTTGGATGTTCTCGTACTCGCAGATTGTAGGTCTTGGTGGATTTTCTCCTGAGCAAGTCCCTGACGCGTTCGTTGTAAATTTCCAAGTAACTGTCAATATCAAACAACTGAAACTGTAACAGCCTAAATACAAATTTCAGTTTGCTGTACTGAAAAAATGCACTGACAATTAGTTTCTGCACAGGTACCATCAATCTCTCATAACTATCCTTTACTCTTTGTCCTTTCATTTAAATCCTCATGAAGTAATATCGTTGTATGAGCCTCAACTCCAAATGAAACCATAATTCAACCTAATCTCCCAAGAGTCTTGCTCCAATGAGCAGTGTCAATAAAATAAATGGAAACGTTCTGATGCTTCACACAGCAGAAATTGTAATACACTAAACAGCAATATTAAAGCCAACCATTCAGAAAGCCTTCCTTGCTAGAAACAACTTCCAAAGACATTGTAAAGCTATGCTTTCCAAATGATATTTTCCGACTGTTTCAATGGAGATACGTGGATTTTTTCTCCTCAAAACCTTTTGCACAAATGCAAATTTCCATTTGCAAATTGAAAGAGTGACCAGATATTAGCAAGACAGCCGTCAGTGAACCATTATGTCAAGTCAAGTACCTGTCTAATTTTAAATCACCTATGCTTTACATGTGATTCTAATGTGGAATGATAAACCACTCTTTTTTATGTACATTAATATAAATTATTGCTACTGTATATAGAAGCAGTACAAAAACAATTTCCAACATTAAAACAGATTTTTTTAATTAACCCAAACACTGCAAACAATTAAGGTTATTCCTTGTTGGACACTTAAATTAAATATTTGTAATGACTTGTAAGCATTAAAAAAATATCACACACAACACCAAAAAGCCTCAAGAATGGCATCAGAAACAGAATTCTGTGGACAGAATATTAGTATATAAGTATATTAGTTCAATCAACCCATGCAAAATACTACAACAAAAAGGAAAAAAAAACAGCGCTTTTGCCTCTCAAACCATACCAATACTTAAGAGGCTACTAATGATTTTTTTTCATATTTTCTAGATTACGAGCACTTCCTAATCAATATTAAGGCATATTTCCCTACTGACTTAAGCCTGAAAGCAGCACCAACAGTTCATGTAGAATTCAGTTAAGTATATCTAAATGTTAACTGATATTTGCTTTGCTTCTCACTTAAGTATTATTTAAGACTTCTTACAGCTTGCTGAACAGAAACGCAACTTTTCACCTTCACTACATCTTTAAAGAAATGGCCCAACTCTTCCGATCTAATCCCCAACTACCTTCAGATTCCACCAACAGCTGCTGAAGGCTAACTACTGTAATACCCATGTGAAGTCCTACAGCGACCTTCATGATGATTTGTACCTCATTATAACATGCTAAACAACCACGTCTCCGGAGTAGCCCAGTAATGAGGGTACGGTCCTTTCCGGAAGAGCCAGGCGAGCAGAGTAATTAACAGTTTGGCTGCACTGCAGGCTGCGCGGTGTGAGATTAGAATGATGAAGTGCCGAAGAGCATCCCAGCAGCCCCGAGATGCTCACCTGACTTCAGTCCGAAAGGAAGCCTCATCCCACCTTGTCATTCCGGCTATGCGGCTGAACAGCCCTTCGCATATTCGAGGTATCAAACCCTGATCCCCCTGAAAAAAGAAGTGAAAACTTTAGAAAAAACACATGTTCACAGCAACTTCTGTTTTATTATATTTTATTTTACTATTGGAAAATGCATGGTTTACTTGCACTAAAAATTACATTCCTCTTCTATGCAGGGAGATTACAGCACCAGTAGCTGTAAACATACACAAAGTGACCTGGCAACAGGTTTCAACATTTTTTAAGACTGAATGTTTTTATCAGTCAATCTCAGGAGGAGAGGCTCCTTCAACCTTTCAAGTCTCTGACAAATTCAAATCTCTGACTTTCTTCTATTGGGTTCTAAAATATGCTTAATTGTGTCAGATTCAACAATGATTCTGTATTTTTGCAGACCACTGGAGCTGAACCTGAAATGTGAAAGCACATACAGTAATAGCAGTGGCCAAGGCGAGACTGAAGTTTGTCTGTAGAAGTATAATATATTCATCCTTGGCCTGCTCGTACTTGAACATCCCCACCAACAGAAAACGGCTATGAATCTGGGCTTCTGGAAGTAATGTCAAAATACCTTAGAGTGCCAAACTGAGGTGGACACTGGCCAGAGTTCATCTTCCAAAGAAGCAGGTGTGAACTATGTGCCTCTACATACATTAATCTTGGCCACATTCTCAAGGTGCACACTCTGAATTATTATTCTGTGAATGTTTCTTGTTTATTATGCTTGGAAAACATATAAAACTGTATTGAATTACATCTAATAAAACAATACTGAATATACAGTACACACATTATATAAAATCATTTTAAAAACATAATAACAGAATAATCAACATGTAAGTATTCAACACGATGCACCTGTTGGGATTTCTACATCCCACTGGCAGTAAAAAATGCAAATGAAAACATCTGAGTTATTTTTCTATTAAAGAAACCTATATATTCCTACAATATAAGAGCAATAGCCATAAAGGGTTAACCTGCTGCAATACATTTCTTACTAAATAATAATTCATGTAACTCATATAAAGTCAATGCAGAACATTCTGAAGGGGAAAATAATTTCAGTGATGATTATATTGTTAGATGAGGCATAATGCTACACATTACTGTTTTCTTGAAAGCAGGTAATTAATAACAGTTTTTTCTTAATTAAAACAAATCATGAATATGAAGAAGAGTTACAATGCAGAAAACTTGATCACAGTCCTGATTAAGATTACACTGCTCAGATCACTAAGGAAATAAAACATTACAGTAGCAGGAAAATGGCCCCTTGTTAAAGCTTCTTTGGTGTATATTGCAAAGGAAGAAGAGTATTTTATATATAGCATGTTTTCGGCCTATCAAAACAAACGAACAGGGACTCTCTGAATTCCTTCATTGAGCTTCCAAACAGATGCAGAGCATGTTTCCTGTTCTGTGCTTTTTCTATTATTAATCAGTATCTCCACCAGGGTCATGCAGAGGCCCCCTACACCATTTGCTTTCCTGAATGTATGATGTTGCAAAATTCAGACAGGGAGGTAGGATTTGATAGAACTCTGTAACACACAGCTCATTATTCTGTAAAGGATTATTACTTTCTATTCATCTGCTTATTAGTATTTGCCATGCAGATTCTATAATCTGCTAACCTTGATTTTCTTCATGTTTACGACATGACCCCTGTATCGCCCTTTGCATATTTTAGTAAATCTAATCTTAACAGTTTCAGCACCTTGATGTCTTTAAATTATATAAAAATCATTAACCATGGGAATTTAATGCCAGATTGCAACAGTAATATAGCAAAATGTGAAACATACAGTATGTCTGCAGTAGCTACTCTTAAAGATAATGAGATTCTCTGCTGGTGTTATTTGCTCCATGCTATTTTTCCAGTGGTCCCATCTGAGGCTTTCTCCACATCAAACAGCAAATAATGCAAACATTTCCACCTGATAAAATATTCGAGACCAACCCATTAACTTTGCTCTTTAAATTCCCGCATATGCAATACATTGAAAATGTTTAATTCATTGTTTACCGGGTTTCCCATCATTGTATAGGATTTTCCTGATCCAGTCTGGCCATAGGCAAATATGCAGGCATTGTAACCTTCAAAAGCAGCTTTAAGGACATCAGAGCCAAGATCTTTAAAAACCTGAAATACAATGAATAACAATGAATACATCCTTTAAAATACAAAAATATTAAGTCAAAGCCACTGGTGCACTTTAAATCACCATTATGTGTGTATTCATATGGATCACTGTATATGATCCTAAAAAAGAAACCATAGAGGTTAACTTGCCTTTGTGTTTAGCTTAGTATTGTTGAAATACAAGAATATGTTAATAGAGAGATTAAAAATGTTATCTTGTGAATAACTGTTACATACAGTAGCATTTTCAATGATCGCAAAACAGGTACCATTACATACACTTAATGGCCAGCTGGTCTGAGAAAAGTAACAGATACTACTAGATCTGTGTGCAAGTAGAATTTTCAACAAACAAAGATTGTTTGCTGGCAGGTAACTGGAACAAGAAGTAGCTTGCCACAAAGTGGACATCTGAGAGTTACAACACCTGTCCAAGGGCAATTCATCAGAATGCTGCAGCAGCTTTGCAGTTCATTCCAAAGTGCTCAGTGAATTGCAGAAACAGTCTGTACATGTTCCTGATTAGTGCCACTAGAGTCTACGTGTAAGGATAATTCAGACTTTTCAACCTGTTCAGCAGCCACATCCTAATCCCATCCACAAAAATGTTGGTAGTCAGCTGGACCTCTTCTGTGTGTGTATTATCATTTCCAGTGTAAGATTCGATCTGTGATTTGGTCATAGAGGTGTTAATGCAACACTTTTGTTGTTGCAAGAGTGGGCACAGTTGAAGTTGAGACTGTACCTTCTTAATCTGAACTATTCTAGGAAAGAGGTGCTGAAAACAGCAAGGATTGCATTGATGTAGTTGAGTCATTCAATATCTATCATACATGTGATTTGATTCAACATGGTCACACACAGAAAAAACAATCAGCTGCTGTTAGACTCTGTGAAAAATGTTTAGAGTAGATTTAGAGTTTGATAACCTGGGTAGAAACAGCCATAATAATTTGTCAAACAGAGGCAATGAAAGTAAATTCTAACTTGAAGATTAATACTTCTCATTTGTTTTGTCAACTTTTGGCTTCACTTGCATTTCCTGCAAAGTTAAACAATGCTTTTTATTAATATGTACCCAAAATGTTTTTCTACATAATCAGAAAAGGCTAAAAGTAACGCACAAAAGGCAAAGTATCAATTAACTGAGCAGTTCTGCTGAATGACCTGTTGACAAACCGCCTGCACAGCCATACAAAATGATAAAGTCTCCATATTAAAAGTTATTTAGAACGGACTGAGTTACATAAGGCCACTGCACATTTAAGTAGGCCGGAAAAGTAAAGCTATATGTATTCAAATCAGTTACTTGTTAATTAAAATTCAAGCCGGCTGCCCCAAAAGCATTTATCATAATTGAAATTCAGGCGGATGGACAAGCAACTGCTAAAATTTAAACTGATTGTGTATAATTAAAGTCTGGGGAAAATAAGCATCACAGAAAAACCAAGCAGTGGCCTTCTGTGCTCCTCTCAATGTTTACATGGCACAGTGCAGACTGCAATTTGAGAATCTGAAATACCTTTATTCACAACGGGTTTTATGCAAATTTCATATACCTGCTAATTCATATCCTGAATACTTGAAATCTATCTTCAGAATGCAAAATTTCTACTCTGACATTAACCCGTATTCTAATGCTCTATCACAAAGGTTTTGGTTTTCATATTTTTAGTGCATGAAAAACTTTTCAAACAAAAAAAAAAAACTCCTTTAAGTTTTTCCAACACATCTGCAAATACCCTAAACTGCAAGCAACTTAAGTTTGAAGACATGATGACAACAGATTCCATAGCAAACATTATCCTTATTTTTACTGCGATGGTTTAAGATAATTGTTGTTATTATCGTGATTGTCAACTTCAAAGCTATTGCTGTTGCTGTTCTGTGTCTACTATTTTACCTTGTACACTGTTAAGAGATCACTTTTCTAAACACCTGCTGTGCCTGTGTCTTTTCAATTTGAAGTGTCAAAATCCCATTAGATCTGAACCACAGCACTGCATTAACTTAGGTCATTTTGGGCTTCAATGTAGCAGTGATCCAATATAACATGCATCTAAAACTGCACATACATCTTAACAAAAACAAGATTTATTTGTGACAGTTTGTGGCATCTTGCAAATTGGGTTTGGAAATTTAGTACATGGGATTAGAAACTACAAGTCCTTACATTTACACAATCAAGTGCAGCCTTCAGCACTTGTCAGGAAATGCCTTTAGGGTTAATTGTGATCTGCGTTTATTTTTTTCCATGTTATTATACATTCTTGTACAGTAATTAAAACTACATAGCAGATTGAAAGTCCAACTGACAGCTCACAATTCACACTTAAAGTAACTGTAATGCTGTTCAATGTAGAATTAAGGTTGTAAGCACACAGTGTTCCAGTGAAGGGGGGGACAGTTTTTTCCAGCTTAATATCTACTCAAATATGTACCAAAATAAAAGCTATTTTAAAATTGTCCAAATATTATGTCTAAATCGAAATAAAAACAATATGTTTACAGAGATTTATTTGCATGGTTTAAAAACAATGTAAGAAATCTGTCTTCTAAAGTCTGACTTTTAGTGATGAACTAGACTGGAAATAGCATAGAACATGTCAGGGATGAAACACCACTGAGCATTTTGAAAGACTGAGTGAGAACAAGTCACACAACAAGCATTTCTAGCTTCTAATAATTATCAAATAAATTAATTAGCAAAAAGGTACAGCTGTTCAAAGACTTCAATTATTTTGCCTCTGGGATATTAAAAAGCCATAATGAAATCCCTAGATCTCTCAAAAATTAATGCCTTCTGGAGATACCTTCATATCTGTGGTAAGCATTCAAAAGATTTAGAACTGACACACTATTCATATTTGTATTCAGGTATTGCAAGGGAATTAAAACTACAACAATCATTCAAACCTCATTCATAATTGGATTGTGTTAATTAATAGGTATAATTTGGAAACAAAAAGATGAGGCGTCCTTGGTATTAAAATGATGTAAAAACGTCACGTACATAAAGAGTATAGCAAAGATATTTTTTGTTATACAACACAGGTAAAGCTTCCTGTGACAACAGAACCAATATTTTAAATTAATTTTTATATGACATTCAGCAGTATGTCAGAAAGGCCATGGAATTCTCTAGTAATATTTTATTAGAGCTTCTCAGTCACAAATAGCCTTTTCTTTTAAAAAAGCATAACCACATATAAATCCCGTATAAATTATTCAGTGATAACTATTGCCATTAGGTATCCTCAGCTCTTACCCTCAAAAAGAGCACAACTGAGTTACTTGTAACTTGAGTTACAAGTGAATACATGAGAACTTCATACCCCTTCAACAACCTGACCAGAAAAACAGCACTAATTATCTAACATTGATTTTTCTGCCCACTTCCGCATGCAATAAAGCAATGGATAGAATGCTGCACATGCAACTGCTTGTGCTTCCATCTTTTTATTAGTTCTGTAAATACAGTAATAGGTTTCCAATATAAGATCAAGGGTCAACTTTGGCTGATACTATACAATACTGTTGGATAATAGAGTGTTTAACAGTCCTAACAGCAGCATGCCACAGCAAAAACACCATGTGTGATTGGTTATCTTCAGGATAGACTAATACAATATGCTCAGACAGATTTAGGTTTTTCTTCTATCAGAGAATTTCTTTAAATACAGCAATACAAATTCATTGTGTTTCATTACTTTGCTAAAAGCTACATCTTATGCATTAAAAAATAAAGATAGAGTGTATACATCCTAAAAAATGTATTCATTGTCAGAGGTATTCAAGGGAAGTATACTTATTACAGAAAAAGCTAAAAGGCTGCAAGAACTTCCTTATTTTGTTCTTTTCAAATGGACAAATGATCTGCCATTATTCTAAAACGACAAACAACAAATTGAGGGTGCTTTGAATCTTTATGGCTTCGCTTTATCATTTTTCCAATGTATGAAAGCAGGCTATTCAACTATGCTGAATAAGGAAAAAAAAGAAGTGAAAACAGAAACTCAGCAGCTGGTATCACAGGCAGAAAAAAAGAACTTGAGTTCTATTGCCTCTGCCGGTTCCAAAACATCCCAAGATCACTAAGTTAAACTTGGCCTTCAGATGCATATTTTAATAGGCTATATAATACTACACTACACTTCTTGAACAATTCATTTTAAAGAGCAGAAAAAGATTTTCAATCAAATTTAACTTCTGTAACATTCTCTCACACCAACATTTTTCAGCTATAAAGGACCAATAGATGGTGCCCTTCAAGCTGAAATACTATATTGTATGGAGGTTTCAGAGAAGAGCACTGCACCCTTCTATGACTCATCTTCTACTTACTGGCAGGTTCTTTCATACTGTATGTAGTATTTAAACAGTCTGTATTTTACTCATTCAGCTCAATACATATTCTACTGATAAAACACTACAGAAATACTTTAGATCACACACAGTATATACTGTAATTACTGTATTTACATAAAATTGCTTAAGCAACTGCAAAAAAGTATTCCTGAAACCTTTCTTCATAATCCATTAGTATTCCAAATTGAAAATTGATACAGGTTCCATATATCATAAGACTCCAATTTAACCTTTTACACTTCACATATTCACAATATAAAACTTGCACTAAATAAATGAATATTAATGTACAATATGGCCCACTAGAATACTAAGGCATAGAGTTATTTGGATTTTGGTCATCATAGACCTTTTAATCAAGAAAATAAAGGCAACACCCTACAACTTGGATGCCCTAGACAACAATCCAGATCATGACAATAGGGAATTCACAAACCCCATATGGAGCAAGTCAAGAGGCTGTTGAAAAGACATGTAAGGATTAGTAAAGCAAGAAGAATTAGGAAGAATTAATGACCCATATTTATACAGGGGCAGGAAGATCCATCAGGTGTCAAGTATTGAGGGTTGCATCTCCCTAAAAATGTATTTTTTAAAATCCGTGACGTATAATTGTCCACAAATTTCTCTTTTATCTGTACTGAGGTCTTTTGTGAAATCAATTAACAACCAGAAACAAAGGGTTTTAAGGCCACCTGTACTAAGATAAAGTCAATAAATACTTCTATACTCATTCACAAAACACGGGACATGAGTTCTTAGGTATTTTTAAGTCATGAATAAAAATCTGTTACAGTTAAATGTTACTGTTAAATGCTCAGATCTGTTGTTAAAAAAGCACTAGAGTGTTATTTGTGCAATACTGTAACTACTAGGTGTTCCACCCCTTCTTGTGAGCAGCAAAGCTGCCAATGTGTAGTTTGACCTCATCAGATCTCATATGCTAGAGGGGTGGCAGACCATCGAGGAAAACTGGGATACGGTAGTAAGTGGTGCCAGTATACTAGTAGATGACACTCATCCTTCTAGGACAGAATTTCCAGTATGGTGAACTGGAAATTCCAGTACAAAGCTACTAGTCTTTGTAGTAGCTCTCCAATTGGGATAAAATGTTAAACCGAGGTTCTGACTTCCTGGACAATGAATATCCCATGGTATTGTTTGTAAAAGCAGGGGAATCAGTGTCCTTGCTAATTTCCACTAAGGGCAGAATGTGGGAGAAGGTCCCCCTTAATTTAGCTGGTGAGGTAATTTCTCATTTTCTCATTTCTCCAGGTGATAAACTGTGTAATAGGGCTGTTGGAACATAATGATTACCATGTGTCACCCCAGTGGTACAGCAACTTTGGGGTGGACAATGTCTATGACCTCTAAAAAAAGTGAAGCACTTTGGCATTCTAGGGAATAAATTAGCTTTCACAATACAAAAACCAAGAAAAGATTTCCCAAACCTGCAGTGCACAAAGGTAGGAGAAAAAAACATACCTTTTCCTGAGATGCATAGTTTGCATGTTTATTATCAGCTGAGTCATAGGAGAAGTCATATGTGAATGTCTTGATTCTTTCTCTTGCAGAATCTCCTGAGATCCCCTCTGGTATCTGGTAAATAAAATGTTACGTGAACATATATATTTTTTAAACCATAAGTAAAATAAGAGGAGAGGAACATATTTGTTTTTTATGTGCTATTTCCCTCCTTTTATTTATGTCTTACATTTACCAGATCAGATAAGATTTAAATCTTCTATAGGAGAGTGACAGGGTGACTTAATACCCACTGCCAGATATTTTTACATTTACTCTAAACATGACAAGGGAAATCCAGTTTAAAGAAAACAGAGTACAAATACTTACCTTTATGTTTGTTATTGAAGTTTTGTTCCCTTGCATCTGAATTATGAATTTGGCATCTAAATCCTTCTCCCTATTATAAAATGACAAGACTTTATTAAGGAATAATAGAATACGAAACTGTAAATTGATCATTATTGCTTAATTATTCTCAATAATAGTATTCCTGTCTTTTCAATGGACATCTTCTCAAACTTTTCCCAGTGTGTCATTACCTTTGAATAGAAAGTTAAATGCTTCATATAGAAAACTCATACAAAAACATATAGAAGGTACTTTATGTGCATGAGACAGATTATCTTGATGTCTGCCATTTATGGTTTAGTCAAATGCACGTGTGCATGTTGAGGTCTCCTATTTTGTTATGGTAAAGGTTTCAATGGCATTTCATACTTATAGGTAATTAAGAACAATTATAAATGAGGAGGAGGCCTTACAGCCCATCAAACTCATTTGGACTTTAGCAACTAATTGGCCCTAAGATCTCAACCAGCTGTTTCTTGAAGGAAACCAGGGTATTGGCTTCATTAACACAGAACAAGGTGCCCGGCCACTTTCCCAAGAACTTTTGTTTTTTACACACTTACACAGAGTTTCCGAAAAAGTTCATTGTTATTATTTAAAAAGCATAATGAAACTATAAAGAGTACTATAAAACTATAAAGAGGACACAAGCAAAAACTAAATGGAAATGCTAGCACTCTGGTGTACAAAGAATTAATAAACACATACACTCTGGCATTATAAATACAGCACACACAGCACTAGGTACTTCTCTGAAGTACAGGTGGCTGCAACTACTGCATGACAACTTAAAATAATTAAATAAACTTTTCTTATATTTTTCTAAAAATGTATTGTGCAAAATTGTAATTTAAGATTATATACTGTGAAGATGGAGCTAGCTAATTATCGAAAACAGTTTAATTCAAAGAACTATATCCTTCAACTTCTACTGAATGCACACCATTAATTAAATGTTAAATATAGCAAGAGATACCATTTTACAACATCCAGGTGGGCCTGCACATTGGTGGTGGTGGAGGGGAGTCCCCATTACCTGTAAAGCACTTTTTAGTGGAGTGTCCAGAAAAGCGCTATATAAGTGTAAGTTAATTATTATTATTAACTCATCTGTTGCAGATGTCGCCTTACAGGAACCTTTCACCTGAACTAGCTAAGTCCAGAGACAATTGAGCATTATTTATTTGAGAAATCTTGCTGTAACAATGAAGTACTGGAACCTTAGATCAAAATTGAAACTTGGTGCCCTGTCCTAAATTTCCAGAGCAGAGAACTGGCATGCAAAGTTCAACTAGTGTAAAGTAGAACAAAGAAAACAACTGTCACTCAAGATCCGGTTAGTAATCTTCAGGTCTAAAAGTTTATTTAATTGACATTTACTATAGATCTCATTTAAAGCACAGTATATCCCTGTACATTACTTACTCTTATAGGATAAAAAATGGAGCCATACTTTATGCTACATACTACAATAGCACAGATTCAATTAGAGGAAGATTAGTATAGCCTGTAATGTTCTTATTGTTGTTCTGTCTACATAAAATGTAAAAATGATTGGAGACTTTTAGTTGGTCAAGTTAACAGCTAGAACCCCTTTCTGGAAGGAATTGCTAAGAACACAGTAAAACTATTTTCTTGATCCATGACAAGCATCATAAACATTGTTGGGACAAAGAAGCTGGTTATTTAAACTGTACTGCATAACAACGTATGAAGGGAAAATACTTTATGTTTTAAAACGTATTGCACAACTAGATTAGCTTTAACCATTTTGTAATAAAGGGTTAAGGCTATTTGTAATTCCACTGCATGTTTTCAGACCCAAACAGTCGTCAGTTTAAGTCATGAAGATTTTCATTAAATAATGTTGTGTGGGTCCCGTCCGCCCACATGATCTCCCTCTCCCTCTTTATGGAATACAAGCTGGATTGTAGTTTTACGCACAAATTTAAAGAACTTAAGTCTGTACAAAGGTTAAAACAACACAGAACAAAGCAGTCAAGCAAAATGGGAATTTTCTGTTTGCACACGATGTCTTACAACCTGCCCTTACAGTAAAACAAACAAAGGCTGTTTTGTATAAGAGCAGCCTATCTGAGAGTGAGAATGGTGATTAACACTAGACGTTCATCAGGCAACACAGGATTTGACCTCCTGTGTCATAGTTAACAAAAGTTATTTTCATGTTTTATTGCTACAAAAACAAAGCGGAACCTCATTTCTGCCTAATACTTATTAACATTCACGGCAAATATTGTCTAACAAGAAAGGAGCATGGTTGTAAATAAAAAAACATAAAACCAGAGACATGGAATTTAGGTTCTGATTATTTTTGTATGCGTATAACTTTCTAAAGATTACATTTTTGTATGCTTAAATCCTTAATAAATAATTTGTTTAACAGTCATCCCTATCCAGAGCAATAATTTGTCTTTCTAATAACTAAGGCACTTCAGACTCTGTAGTACAGTAAAACACTGATACTGTATGTGAAACACAGTTCCTTTAAATATCATGTTACCCCTCTTCAATGACCTAAGATAATGAGCAAACGAACTTTCAGCAGTACAGCTATTATACCCTAATAGCCATTCTGAAGTCATTTTCAAGCTTTCAGGTTCTGCTAGCCCAATTTAAGCAAACAATGACGGTCTCTAATAATGCATTTCTGCGGGTGTTCATCTCAAAATGCAGTTTTCTAAATGTATTTATGAAATTACAATGTAAATTACACATAGACATTTTACTGCACATATACAATGCAATATGTGTGGTAATATGCTCAGGTAAATTGTTCTGTATTTATCCACAGCAAACAGTATAAAAACAGCAGAGCAGTAAAAAAGGGTATCTTCTCTATGAAGGTATGATGAAGGCCAGTCTTGACAAAGATGAGGTTGCAGAGTACCGCGACATTACGCAATTCACAGCAGCTGACTCTGCTGTTGTCCCGCAATACTGGGACATTGGAAGCGAGGTGGGGTGAATCACCAAACAAACTTCAGATCCATCTTTAATGACGTCAGTTATTTCGAATTAGAGCGCAATTTGACACCGTCAAATTGTGCATTTCTCTTATTGCTTTTCTGCATGTTATAGCAAGAGAGCAAAATTAAAAATGAATATGCTTCTCATTCCGTTATGTCAAATCCCCAGTCTGTTTCCCGATCGGGGAATATTTGAGGAACAGATAGGAAGATGTGTTGCAAAGACGCTATATAAAACATTTACTAAACGAGAAGCAGTTATTCAAACCTTCGACATGTTTTGCATTTTTGTTGCTTAGTTGAAAGATACCACGTTGTCAGCTTCAAACAACATGGGTGGATAGTTTGTTCTACACTTTCGAAACACTTCGTGTAAATGTATACAAGGTACCGAATAAAAACAATGTAGCGCGTTGCATGCAAAGAATACACGGTGAATAACGCTGCTGCAAATTAAATTCTTTAATATTACAAGAGGAGACGCTAAAGCAGGTAAGAAGACATTTTTAAAGAAAGACTTTGCATTCAAAACTTAAATGCGAAGAAAATATTTTTGTAGTTAGACACTTACCGCCGATTCATCGGCCTGACTCTGACAGCCACTCTCACTGATGCCATCGTTCATTCCTGTGGCTCTGTTGTGATTCGCACCTGTTACCAGCTCAACCGCAGTCTTATTATTTAGGTTTCTTACTTTTGGACAAACGCAAGGGGGGAAAAAACATATTTTTTTGCGTATGTCAGTGTGAATTTCTGAACGGTGTGAACTGTTGACTTTCACTGCACCGGTGCCACCGCAGCAGAAGTAAATACAGGATATCTTTCCAAGGAAAAACTCTCAAACTCCGCTACCGCTGTCAGCTGACAAAGCATGAACTCCAGGAGGGATGCTGTAAAGGACAAAATACTCTTAAACGAAGAACGCGTTTGGAAAAAGGCATCGGGGAAATCAAAGCAAAACCCTCATGACTCAGTGTACGACCGCAACGCAGCGGGCGTGGGAGTTTGTAGGCCTGCTCAGCCACAGGCAAACAGGAAATTATGTGTGTTTAAAATAGGGTATTATTTGAATAATCGAGAGATTCTTGTGGATTGAAACCAGTAATAACGATTCTCATCAAACGATTAATTTTAAATTGCCTCCGTGACCTCTTTTCAAATATGTATTGCAGTGGGCGAATTATGATTTTAGAAAACAATTGTCTACCTGATTTTCTACAGTTTAACCGAAATTCGTTTTCTGATTTTCATTTTGTGTCCTTGTCAAAGTTGAGTTTTGTTTTCTCTTAGTGTTCCTATGGGTTTTTTAGACACAATACTAAGAGAAGGAACATGAGTTTAACATTTGTAGAGTCTCGATTTGTAAATTGAGTAATTTAAAGATCATCTGGGATCAGAATCTGGGTACCATTCTGTCCTCAAAGACATAGTTCCCTTAATTGTAAAGACAACGTGTAATTTATCAATAACTTTCAGATGTTTTATATTTTAAAAAAAATGGACAAACCGAAATTGTACTCTCTAGGACCAAAGCTGGAAATCACTGCTTTAATATCTTATACATATTATATTCTCATTCACATACTGTATGATCTCTCTTACAATTTTACCTTTTTAATTCTGACTGTAATAGTTTAAACTGGTTAATACAGCACACTCTAATTGCTATGAAAGCTCACATTGTTTAGTATATTAAGTCAAAAATGAATCATTCAAAAATTAAATGTGTTGCTTTGATAGTGCAGTATAGTGGTGCAAGTCATTTAGTATATATTAAATGTAACATTAAATATTAAGCACTATGTAATAGCTGAAGTACGCTGCTACTTGAGCATTCCCTTGAGTAAAGAACTATACTGTACTTCAGTAAAAGCTCCAGTTAAATCCCTGTTTGTATAAATAGGTCTTGAAATCCCAATTGTTAAATAAGAATTTGTTCTCAACTGATAGGTAAAATAAATGAGAAAGAATCAATGGTATATGGAGAAAATATCTTCCTAATGATATTGAAGCTAAAAAAGAAAAACTAAAATTTCACAGGTTTGGCACCTCTGAATTTGAGTCTTTGCTTTGGATTTTCAGAAAATCAGCTCCTCCCCTCATCTCAGTCTTTTGTTCTCCCATCTTTAGCAACTGATTTCCCTCTCTCCCTCATGCTTAAAAAAGGTCCCATAGCAGAAACGTTATGTCTCTTTTCATTTTAGCAGGGAATAAACCCTTTCTGGAACATTTGTACTTTGAAAATCAACCTGATAGTGTTAGAAGGGTACTAAAAACCATTTGATGTTTTATGACTCGATGATCATATATTCAACTTCAGAATAAATAAAATTAAGGGACACAATTTATTTTTCCTCTTTAACTTTCCCCATGCTTTTGGAAATCATGGTAGAAAAATGAATTATTATTTATTATGTTCTACAGTGAACACCATTATTTAGATGTTATAACAGAAAAACTGATTAAACATTTAGCTGAACTAGATTATTTGTATAACATTTTAAAAAACATTCTAAAGCATTGAACAAAACTAAAATGGCAATAAAATAATTACAAACAAGCTTGAACATGCTTTAAAAGAAAACACAGAATACAATAATAATACTGTACATTTTAAAGGACATTTCAAAGTTGTGTTTTTTGTCATTTCTTTTAAATTGTCATCATTCAATGTACTTTTCTGTAACATGGGACCAACACAGTGATTTTGAAAAATGAGCCAGGTACATTTTGGTGCATTTATATCACTCCAAATTGCCTGGACCATCTTTCTTCCACACAATTTATTTTGTCAGCAGGCTTTTTCTTTTATGAGTAGATATTCTTTTTCACTAAGCTGTTGATATCCAGCAAACAAAGAGCAATGGTTTTATTTATGAAGTCCGGACCCTCAAACCTCAGCACGAGTGAATCATTCATTTAATGTTTGGAAGGATATCCAGAACACTCAATCTGCCTCCTGTAAGCGACCAGTCTCAATGGAAACAGAAGCGTTTGGCAAAACACCTGCCAGTATATTGAATTGTGTTATTTGCTTCCTTTAATATCTTTCACTCCAAGGATCTCCAATCTCTAAGAAAAAATAAATAAGATCCAGATTTAAATGAGTCGCACGCAAATATGCCAACCCTTAGAGAGCCCTCCACAAGCTGCTGCATGTGCCAAGTGAATCAGTGGTATTTTGTAAAACAGTCTGACACAAACTCCTTTGCAAACCAATTACACGTGTCCTGCAGGCGTGACTAAGTAAGCTTATTACAAAAAACAAAGGCTCAAAAAGCCATACATCAGAATGCAATATAATTTCATTGGATTTATGTAACACTTTTATGCCTAAGTATCACAAAAGCTCATTGCACATGAAAGAATGCATTTCACACATTACTGATGTGCTGCACCAACCTGGGTGACACAGAGAAGTAAATTTATGCACCAGGAGCTCCACCATACAGCAGATAAAGTAGAGAACTGAGAAATTTTCTCGACGATTTAATTAGAGGGGAACATTAGGTAAGACAGATAATGTAAGTTCGAAATTAAATTTAGCCAGGAGAATGCCGTTAACATTCTATCCACCCATTTTCTAACCACTTTATCGAATACTGGGTCGTGGGGGATCCAGAGCCTATTCCAGCAAGCAACAGGTGTAAGGAGGGATGGATGTTTGGCAGGGCCGAAACATCCACAGACACATTCACACCATAGCCAATTAATCTACCGGTATGTCTCTGGACTCTAGAGGAAACACGCATAAATACGGGGATAACATACAAACTCCACGCAGACAGCAATCTGGGAATTGAACCCAGGGCTCCAGTACTGTGACGTAGCAATGAACCACTGCACCACTATGCTGCCCTCGATAAACTCACTACTCTTACAAACAGTACCATTTGACTTTTAATTCCCAAGTAGTTGGGACACATTGGTTTAATAGGCCCTTTGAAGGATGAACCTCCTACAGCAGTGTAGGACCATTTGTATTCTGCTGCATTGGATTGAAAATTCTGGTATGAGAAAAGAGGTTCTTCTTTTAAGCCAACATCACTTACAGGAGCAGCCTGATTTTCCTTTGAACTGGCAAGAGCTTTTTATAATGGGTTTAGTTACACTAAAAATACAAGAGTGGGTAGTGGAGTTGGAGATGTGCCCCTTACTGAACGTGCATGTTTCACACTGGGGTGCTGCAAGATTGTAAGAATTACTCCAACAATGGTGAGTAATAGCCCCAGCCTAACTGTCATTCCCTTGCATAGTAGATGCCTGAATCTCCACAAAACGATTTCACCATGGCAGGGTTCCCGGGTGGGTACACTAGCAGTCCTGAAGCCATGTTTAAAACTGCTGTTGTCTGCATGTATTGTATCCCTGCTAACATGTAGGCCCTCCTCCCGTCTTCCTCAGGGCTGAGTAAAAACACACCCATGGCGCCTGATTATATAGCATATTGTATCACATGTGGTTTGCATTTAATAGGAGAACAAATCAATGAGGTATTTTAAAAGCATTAAATTAACTGCATTCAGATGTCTCTTTGTTGTGTCACAAATAAGACAAAGAATTCCCATTGAACACTGAACAAAGTTACAGGAATTATTTGAAAATAAAATCAGGCAGGAATCTCAGATCAGTAAACCACCGTAAGATTTCACAAGCTGCGTCTTGACAAGCAATACAATACGGTATGTTTTCGGTGCACAGAATCTATATCGAGACCTGTTTGATTAAAACTGTTTTCTAGCTAACACAGGTCATGGACAATAGCTGTATGATGCGTGTTTTCACATTCAGTTAATGTGTACCCCACATGTAAAAAACGCCAAAAAAATCACAACAAAAGCGTGCTCAAGTCTTTTTTGTCAAGGAGATATTTTCTCTTCACCGGGAATGTAATATTTCTCACACTTTTAAATGTGTAGCTTTAAACGTGTATTTTTAATAGTGGATTCGATAGTTTAATTAACCCAATACAAATTGGTTTCACAAAATTAACGTATTTTATACTGTATGTAATTATTACGTACAGATACGGTATGCAGTCTGTGCCGCTAGAGGGAGCAAGAAGTATGTAGGAACTAAATATTCAAAGCGAAGTGTTCTTGTTGTTTTACACAGTGTTGCACACAGGAAGTGTGATGGTAGTTTGTTTCCGGTAGCGTTTTGAAGAAGAGCGGCGTGAGTTTGCTGTGTTTTAATATTGTGTTGTTTCTATTAATTTTATTTTATGTTTTAATGAAATGCAGTTTAAAAGTGGAACATCTCTCTTTATAATTAGAAATACTAATATGTTCTGTTGACTTTAGTCTTGTTTTGTAAATCACGTACTTGTTTCTTCTAGCTTCTGAGCAAAGATGATTTTTAATTGTTTTTAATTAACTCTTACATAAATACAAATTCATGTAAATACTCGATCTAACAAGAACAATGTTTCACTTTCTTTAGCCACCGAGGTTTTTTAAAAATTAGATTAGAACAGTTTATATGTAAATCTCTTTTCTTCTTGTAGTTATAACGTTGCAGTGCCATCATGGATATTAGACCCAACCACACCATTTATATTAATAATGTAAATGACAAAATCAAAAAAGAAGGTAAGTATTTACGAATATCGTCATTTATGATTCAGGAAGTCTGTTGTTCGGATAAACGTTGCCTATTTGTAACCGTACCCAATAAATTTGAATGTATATAGGGTAAAACCGAAAGAGAAATCATGTACCAGTTGTGTCAAAATAGTGTGACTGTATGGTAATATTGTTTAATAGGAGGCTGTAGGGCCGCGTACAGTCAGATTTTAACTAAATTAATTTAAATTGTATGGGCGTTTGGCCTCTTGTGGGAGCCACCGAGTTAAACAGGAAGCTACAAGGCTGTGTCCAAACAGTATTTTAACTTAATTCATTTGAACTATGTTGACCGCTGGGTTGGGGGTGGGAGTGTCACAGTTTGCATGTCATTTACTGCTATATTTAGATTGACAGTAATTTAGTATGATCTGATTAATATTTCAACATGTTCAGAAATAAAGCACAGTCCCAGTACTAGCAGGCATTGATTTTTAAACTCATTAGATCTGAATAGTGTTCCTGTGCAGTTTCTATCATTTCTTCCTGACTTAATACTTAGTGGTTTTGAATGCACTAATTTTTTTTTATTTCTCCGTAGAGCTAAAGAGGTCGCTATATGCACTGTTTTCTCAGTTTGGACAGATAATTGATATTGTGGCTTTGAAGACAATGAAGATGAGAGGACAAGCATTTGTTGTCTTCAAAGAACTGGGCTCTGCTACCAATGCTCTTCGACAACTGCAAGGATTTCCGTTTTATAATAAGCCAATGGTTAGTTACACATCTGAGTTTTAAGTGCACTTGAGCTGTTTTGACATTTACAAAAATACATACCTTGTATTTGACTTGTCTAGAAAACAAGTTGCCATGTATGATTATTTCATGTAACGATGCATATTTTTTAGGAAGGCTCTTCAATAAGGAATAAATCCAATTCTTACAAGGTTTTTATACATTAAAAAGAAAAACAGGAACAGCTTTTGGGCCTTTTATATTAAAATTGCATTTTTTTATACTCGTGCAAAAGCCTTAGAGATCCTGGATCTAATTGGCTGTAACAATATATGTCATGTTCGGCATCATTGACACCGCAAGACGTTTCTACTGTTCAGACCACCTTGATAGTCATTAATAAAGCTTAGCATGGGAAAGCTTACATGAGCAGTACATGAAATGTTGGAGTAACGTATTCCATCACATGCACAATAATAAAATCTATAAAATCTAAACTCTATTATTGTCAGGTTTTGCTCACAATTTACATAATAAAACTAAATGGCTTCTTTTTGTAGAGCAAAATGCAGATCTCTCAGGCCTAACTCTTCTCTTAAAATGTTCAAAATTTCTGTATTTCATTACTACAGAACTGTTTCTGCATTTAGAAGGAATAGCATTGAAAACAACACAACAGTATAATATATTTCAAGACTTTTACACAAGAGTATTTATACGCAATTTCTTTCCTGTTTTACCTACACAGCGCATTCAGTATGCCAAGACAGATTCTGATGTTATTTCTAAAATGCGAGGCACATTTGGCGACAAGGACAAGAAGAAGGAAAAGAAGAAGAAAGTTCAGGAGCAGGCAGCAAATGCAACCAAGAAACCAGCCCCGGTAAATAAGTTTTGCTTCATTAAACATAACCCCAATATATCAAAACCACACCCATGCTTCTTTTAACTAATGTTCTTTTTATGAAATTTCAATACCACAAAGCATCAAATAGCGATACTAGCTATAGAGTGAAGAGGAAGGTGCATACAGCGCCACTCATCTCATGTAGACTGCTTGCATCACATTCCACTAACTAACAGAGCCTATGGAGTGGTAGGAGAGACGTGTGTGATGCACTTCATTACATCTTGCTTTCTATGCTGTTCAGTATTGTGTGAGCTCTTGTTTTTCGTGCAAGAAAATTGGCTGTTTTGACATTATAATGGACCCCAAAGGCATTAAGAAAATGAAAACTGTGATTATGTGTGTAATTACACAAAAATCAAATGAAGTGGTTACTATACGGTACTGTACATAGGTATAATTAATAATATCTAGGTAAGCAGTGTTTTTTATTACTAAAAGCACAAACCACAGTATGAATGTTAGGTATTTTTCTGGATGAATGTTTTTCATTGATTCTTTTTCTTTACTTTCTGCGAAACAGGCATCTACGAATACACCTTCAAATGCCCCCCAGACTCAACAGGTATGTGCCAGATGACGGGGGATTTATTTATGAAATTATCTATAACTATAATGAAATAGTTATTCTATATATTATTCTATATTCATATATGTGAGTATGAATGCAGATCTGATAAAGTCCATATTTTTAACTTGTTTGTATTCAACATTTCAAGAAAGAAATACTAAAAATATAGAACATCAAAGAAACGTAAAAGGTTAACTTGCAGGAATAAAAAGATGTTGAAAGTGTGAAATTCATGTCCAATATTTGCAGTAGCACAATAATACTTCTGTACTTATTGCTATAATGTTATTTTTCCTTTTTTCTAGACACCTGACAATCCACCTAACTACATTTTATTCCTCAATAATCTACCAGAGGAAACAAGTGAAATGATGCTATCTATGCTTTTCAATCAGTAAGTAGAGACTTTTTTTTTTGTTTCTGTCTATCTTTACAACTGCCACAGCACAAATCTAGAACACGTGACTTATTTTTTTCAGAATCGCGTTTGCACAGCATTATAAGGCGTGTGACAGTATAAAAGGATTGAATTAAGCTATTTCTTACCTGTAAATCTTTAAATAATGCTGTTTTCCATTTGGCGAATCTTGATTATTTAGAGCTTTACAAATACAACATAATCTTGCTGTTATTTCTAGCCAGGGTTTCCCACAAGCTGGATTTTCAGGTCTGTATCAATTCAGGTTTTTACTTCCCCTGACACAGTAATGACTTCATCTATAAATTACACAGTGAACTCTTTGGCTTAACCCTAAGGACAAGGTAAAAAGGTTGTATGCTTGTTGATTAAAGACTCTGAAGTTACTAAATCTAATTGATTCAAGTTCGTGGTGCAGCTTTCTGACCTAACTCAATAATACTGTATGTAGGCCTGGTCTCAGTTTGGTGCTAGAAGTCACTTATCCCAGCGCAGCCTGGAGAGTGGTTTGCATATCTGTTAAGTTCGGTAGAACATTGCTTTTTTTTTTTTTACAATCAAAGTGCTCCTTGTTTTGCCTAGGTTCCCTGGTTTCAAAGAGGTACGTCTTGTGCCTGGCCGACACGACATCGCCTTTGTTGAGTTTGAAAGTGAAGGGCAAGCAGGAGTGGCGAGGGACGCCCTGCAGGGATTCCGCATAACGTCCACCCACGCCATGAAGATAACTTATGCTAAAAAATAACCGCGGATCTGTGGATGTTTGTGGACTGAGATGAGGACCTTTTGTAGCCAATGGAATCTGAAGTTTAAAGGAGGGTTTTCCAGATTTTTTTGTTATGAATCCCAAAAATACACCAGACGTAGTGAGATATCTAGCTTTTTTTCTATGGTGTAAAAGGATAAGTTTGGACTTGTTGCAGAGGCAGTCTTTGAAGATGAGAGCTTGTTTGGGGAAAATTGTTTTTATTTTTGTGTCAACCATTCTTAAAGACTGCTTCTTTGGAGAATACAGCAGTTTAATTTAATCTGAAAAATAAAGTTTTTTAAAAAATACATTGTATGTAGTATTTTTTTTCTGATTGAATAAAATAGCGGTTTGCTGTTTTTTTTTAATGAAACGTTGAGAACAACAAAGGAACACATTGTGTTTATATAAACTTTGCTTCATAGTGCAAAAAATTAGAAAGGCTAGATTAGAGTTATCATCAACTGCTCTGATGGATTACTTAATGATAAATGGGATTATATATGGTGCTTGTTTTTTTTTCAACTTTAAACTTTAATGTGTTTAATCTTTAAAATGCTCTGGGTTATTTCCTGGAGTTCACAATAAGGTACTCCAGGATCAGGTTAATTGAATCCTCTGTCAGTCATTTGAATGGGATTTGTGAGATTTGTTCTATCACGATACGGTGGTGGTGTATCTAGATGTACTTTCCCTTAGGAAGAAGAAAATTCATAAGCTTTCATGAATTATTCAACATGAATTCAGTGTGGAGAATGTGTGCACTCATTGGGTACATTTATCCACATGTTGGATCAAACAATATGACACTAGCTTTATTTTCTCAAGGTAATTAGATAATTAGTATTCCTAAAGTATTCAGCTACTTAATCATATATAGTTAGAATTTTTAAAATGCAATGTGTCTTCAAAGGTATATTGTATTCTGTCTTCTGGGAGTCTCGAGATAAAATATTCCTTGCAGATTTAATACATTTGTTTTCTTATCTCTGGTCTACAGCAATATTGCCTTTGAGGCTGTTTAAACATTAATTAAACCTAAAGTCTTCCCCTTATGTTCCCATATGGTTATGGTTTTGTTTTTTTTTTGTCACACTTAAGTGCAATATATACACCAAATCTTACAATGTTAGTAAGCAATATATTGGACGTTTTTCCCCCTTTCCTAATTCTTACCTTTTAACTTGAAAAGTCAGTCAATAAAGGGAATGCCTTTAGCACTGACTCACTAGTTTGTTAATGATGCATATTTTGAGTTATTAGATGGGTCAAAGGCCAAAGAAAAGAAATCTGGTTTATAAAAAAAACATCCGCTTGAGCCACTTTGCCAACAGCTTTTTGGAACAACCCTTGGAATTTGGAGCTGATCTGCAATGATTGGTCATCCAGATGTCCTGCCCAAATTCTTGAATAAGCCTTTCAGCCAGAGGAACATTTCACAAGAGAAACGAGATCCTACAGTATACACACGGCTGTCAGGATGCTAAAGCTTCTCGACCTTGTGTTTGTTCTCACTCTGCTTGGCTCAATAAACCAAGCTGTTAGTGGAGTTATGATGGAAAAACTTGCAAATATGAAGCTCTGTGCAGATGAAGAATGTTCACGTGAGTGTACAGAATTCAATATTATTTTTTTAAGGATGCCCAGGAACTTAATATGCAATGTTAATGTGGTTTATTTGAATTCTACAGTGACCAGTTATTGTCTGTAAGGCATTTAATCTGAATTTTATTAAAACATTTTTTTACAGTGTGCTACAGTCCATACCAGTTTTATTGCTGTGTATTCATTGGAGAATATGATGCTTTTGTAAACATCTTTGTAGATTGTGTTTGGACCCAAGGGTTTAGTAGACCTCTGTTAACCTCTATTCTTCTTTTAGACACGATATCCCTTGCCACAGCAAATGATGATTACAACGCACCTGACTGCAGATTTATTAACATAAAGAAAGGCCAGCTGATCTATGTTTATTCCAAACTACTGCCTGAAGAAGGCTCAGGAGAGTTCTGGTCTGGAAGTGTATGTGTATTATTTAAATATTTTATTTAATTCTTCATTTCTATGTTCTATAACTAGAATGTTTCATAGCTCAAGTTGTAGCAAGTGCTTAACATAAAGGTACAGCATGCATGTTATGACACAATGAAACGGGTTTTGTTAAATATACACCACAGCATTAATGTGATTGGATTTGAATACCTTAGTAAAATTGGATTTAGAACATGTGAAGTGTTTTGCTGCTACAACAGGTTAGTATCTTTCCTCTAGCCATCTTTGAATTCCTTTGGAATGCTCTCTCTTTGTTTGAAAACTGCTCAGAATCTGCTGAACATGAAACAATGAAAGACTTAAAACAGAGCTCTTCTGTTTTTCCAAAGACATAACATGTCCTGCAGCATTCTTAAATGCATTTTGGGAATAACAGACTTAAAGAAACAATGTGTAATATTAGTGCAATACGACCGAAACATTTTTAATTCCAGATAGCCATCTATCCTAAACAAAGTTGTCCCACAAATCCCAGATTTGGTATTTAATTCCTGTTCCGCAAAATATCAGTGACAATTGTAAATACATGTTAAGGTAAAATCACACAAGTTTTCCAGAAGTTGCTTAGAACAATATGATATTGAGAGAAGTAACAGGCTCAGTAGAAGTATACATGACTTTGTAGCTCGTGCTGGTATATGCTCTGTTAGGGAAACGGGAAGATATTCATGTTTCAAGGGGGGAGCGAGGGGGTAGAGCAGCTTCTTTTTACAATCTCAAAAAAAGACACAGTTTAGAAACCTAGAGCCCCTTCCCCCACCAAAAATGCATGGCCCTCCACTCACCTTCTCCCAGCACCCTGTTTATTACTCTGTCAATAGTTGGGTGTAGGATCATGTTCAAAGTGTAGTTTCACAATTTTAATGGGGTGGGCATTGCAGATGCAGGCAAAAACCTTTTTCACTCATGTCTGTTTTGTGTTATTTTCCTTCGTGTGCATGTCTGTCCTGTCAGGTCTACAGTGACCGGTATGTGGAACAGATGGGAATCATTGGATACTTCCCCAGCACCTTGGTCACTGAAACCCATGTGTTCAAGGAGGGCAGTATTGAGATTCCCACAACCGTAAGTACTGCAATAAATTTCCTAACAGCTCAAAGCTAATGTGGAAAAAGCAGAGCCCATTAAACTTGGTCAAATATATTTTGCTTTAATGTTTTTCAACCCTTTGTTTGATATTCTTGCAGATACTTACAAATACTTTCCCAGAACATCAAAACAAAAACTTGACCCTTATCTATCATTCTTAGAAAATTCTATACTATATGTTGATTTAGGACATTTATTCCTCTAGCAGAATACATTGAAAACAGGCAATTGTGTCTTTTTGAATATATTTTTGAATAATATTTTTGGTAATATTATATGAATAATATTTTTGTCACTTTTTAATGTTTATTTCTCTTGTTTTTTAACTTTACAGGACATTGATTTCTACTGTGTTTAAGACAGGAAGAAGATTGTGAAACATTTGAAGTGTACAAGACATATCAAGGCATAAGAGAAGAAAAACTTTCAAAGAAAATTCTACTTTGCTTTCTTCTTAAAAGAAAAACAAGGAATACAAAGATAGGAGAAAGTTGTTTTGGTAGGAACTTTGTGAGACAGTCTTCTGCTAAATACTCTTTCACTTAAGTAAATACTTTCACCCTTGAAGTATGAAACCTATTTTCTTTAAATAGTTTTTTCTTTTCTTTTGTATTTTTAATCAAAAAAATATATATAACAGTGTGATGTTTCTCATACTTGCTGATACTATTTTAGAAAAATATTTTTTTTCTTCAAAACAATATTGTAAAACTGCTTTACATACACAGCAATAGATATTTGAACTTTTGAAAAGATACACATTTATAGGTTGTACATGATTTATTATCCAGTGTTATGAAACAAATAAAAACCATATGTCTAGACAAAAATAACATTTTTTGTTTGAAACTGATTTGATCAAATCCATTATTTATATTTGGAATTTTCTACTGATCTGAGCTCAACAATATCATCCAAAAACGAACAGAGCTACGGTACTGTATTTAAAATGTGTCTCGTATGTTTGACTTGTGTGCTGAGTAAACAGAAGCCTGAACCCTGTGGCTAACATTTTCCTACTTTGAAAGAGATGATCAGCTCTTGAGTGTTTCTTAAACTGGAGGACAGAGGAACCAATTTAGAATGTACTGTGTTTAATTTATTAACATGAAGTTAATACAGTAAGTCCCAATTTAATACTTACCACCTCTAACATAAATGAATTTAAGTACAATAGATCTGTTTAATAGTTGTTCAGATTGTCCAGATCACATACTGTATCAATAAATTATATACATTTCATATAAATTAATAAACAATAATTCACAATTGTAGTGCATGTCAGCAAACAAAATACAAGAAGGCCTTCATAATTTCTTCTTATAGAGGTATTATGCATTTCATTTGCTTAAGAAGTGACATCTTAATTTTTACTAGTCGAAGTTTTAGTTTTGTAACTTATTTTATCCTGTGAATATTGTGCATATGATAACAGTACCATTGAAAGAACTGTGATTGACGGAATGGTAATAAAGAAAAGATGTAGGGAGCTTGAAAGGAACAAATTAATTCAGGCCAAAGATAGAAGTCATGCCTTTTTAAATGTGTCAAATTGATTGCATTTGTTAGTCCAAAAGTCAACCCTGTGTACTTCCTGAGAATTAACAGTGAAACATGAGCCAGAGAACACAAGTGGAAACTAAGGACTTTCCAAACTGAGAAAAGGAGGCATTTTTTACATAAAATAATTGTGGGGGTCAATGGACAAGCTACCTAGCCTTATTGTTGTTGAAGCCGATATATTGGTTACTTATAAGAAAGCACAAGATGAAATGCTTGTAATTATTAGCTCTAGGAACCAAATAGGTTAGATGTGTTGAATGGCCTTCTTTATTTATTGATTGATTGATTGATTTTATAGAGGTATTATGCTTATAATTTGCTTAAAACCTTACATCTTAATTTTCTAAACACAAACTGTAGTACTAGACTGATCTTTCTCTGACCACACAGTGAAATCAACTTGGTAAATTACATCCTGTAAAAACATTCAGACAACACTGGGCCATCTATTCTTATGTAACATTGCTAACAGTACCACTGTTGTCTGAAAAATGTCTGAAGAAGCATTAGGCAAGCAAATAACAGGTAGAATGAACGCTGCCAGAACAGCTGTCTCCTACATTAGTATACAATACAGTATTAACGGTGGCTGCAGGTAAGTTTCAGCAAACTTAATGAAATCCAAAGGTCAAGAGTATCGTGAGCTCAATGAGAGCCTTTTATAGTATAATGAAGCCCTTATCTTATTTGAATTTAAGAATGCTGCTTTAGAAATGCATATTGTTGTCTCCCTCTTGTGGTTTACTGGCAACATGACAAAATACACTGCTGTACATTCTCATACAGTACTTAAAAAAATAAAATATTTTATTTTTTAATATATATACTACTCATGCTTCTTCACTGGATAGTTTTTAGTAATAACCATAAAACCCATTTTCAGCACAAACAGAATGCACAAGAACACAGTGCTGTTTTATAACAGGATGTTTCTTTCTTTTCTTTAAACAGGTTTCTTTTATTTACATTTTTACATTTTATGTGTCCCTTCATAAACATGATCTCTTGTTGTTGATTGTGAGATGTAGCAAGCATAGTGTTTTATAAATCTGAAATTAAAAATTGATCAAAAAGACACAGATCCAAAGAACTGGTTTTGAATGGATTAATATGTGAATGAATGACAGTACCTTTTCAATTCATATAGAAATGTTTGAGGTAAACACTTGTTAAAAGTAATGTAATGAAAGGTTACCCATATTTTTCTGATCAAAAATATTTTTTTGGTGCTAATGTGTTCAGAACATGGTCTCATATTATTGAATAAATACCTTGTGTTGCAGTATGCAATTGCCTTTGTACTGCTTCCTCTAGGTTTCACTGTTGTCTCCGGGCATGTATAATAACTGCATTTGAATCAATCAACTCATTTAAAACAACAATATGCAAGTTGCAATTTTACATCCACTGAATTTTATAATTCCACCAAGTGCAAACTTTTTTCAATCCAATCAGAGCCCAGCTGTCTGCCTCTCAAACACTACGTGGAAGGTATGCAATTCTGAGACTACCTGTAGGATTGTGTCAGGTAAGGTCTCATGCAAAGGGGATTATAGCAGCAGAGGTACAGTATTAGCAGTGGCAGTGCTGGTAGAGGATTATGCAAAAATGTTGAGCTAATAATTTCTCCCTTCTGTGTTTCTTCTACCCTTTTTGTGTGAACTGTGCAGGATTAGAGCTCAAAACACTTTTATAAGAGCAGTAAGTATTCTGCTGCCATTAAATGTTAACCGAGACATTTTGTCTCCATTCTGTTTTAGCTCTCTGTAGCCATTTGATTGCCATTTGTTTGCTTAGAGACAGGTCCCCTTGGAAGTTCAGTAACCAAGAGTCTGTGCTGTACAGCCCTAAAAAACAAAGGAGTACTGCAAGCTGCTTAATTCAGTAAAGAAATGCCATGGAGAAGGAGTATAAGGGCAAGGCTCAGACATCCAAAAACATGGCTGGGGTTTATATAGGAATGGTATGTACTTGTGATATTATAAAGTGTGTAAAAATAGTTTAATAATGTTTGTTGATATTTTTTTAACCACATCATTTATATTCTGAAGTAAACTGATTTCAAACAAAAGCGAAAACATTTATGAGAGAGATCAAAATAATTGTTATTGATTGTTTTGTTGGTAAGACTAGGGAATGATATAACCAGGGAGGAACACATTTATAGCTGCATTGGTATTTTCATTACTGCAGTAACCTACCGCATTTTAATATTGTACTTTGTTTAAGATTCACATTGGGAACAATCTTGATCTTTTAGCAAATTTAAATTAATCCCAACAAAAAGCTGGGGTAATTTAGAAAGCTACAAGTGTTTTATCTCCCAGACAGTTCAAGAATAAAATTAGAATTGTAATTGGAACATTAGATTGAAGGAAGAAATGACCAAGGGAAAACATTGTTTTAATGTTCAGAGATACAAGACTGTTATAAAACAATAGATACATTATGTTGTTTTACCTCAAACCTATTAGGTTACATTATGCTTTGTGAGTGCAAGACACAGTTGAATGGCTGATAAATTGGAAGCAATTATCTTAGAGCACAAGGTCTCCCTCAATCCTTGTATCAGTTTTAATAACTTCTTGAGATGTATATCTATGATCACAGTCTATGAAACAGTAAATTTAATTTCACTGTCACTACCACTAATTAAATGTGAACTTAAAATATGATTTGTATTTTGATTATTATAATGAAAACGTCTGTACTAAACAGAGGCTGTAGATATCAGATGTAAGAATTGGATAAGTAAAAAATATTGGTGATGGCTTCAGATGAAAATTCGACATTACTTTAAGTTGCAAATTTAAATTGAGCATGGATAAGGTTTGTATAATGAGAACTTCAGTTGTTCTGAAACTGGGCTAATCTGTCTAGCAACACTAGTTTTGATTTAGCCAGGTACAGCATGAAATGTTATTTTTCAAGCTTTTAGCAGAATTAGAACTTTCCAAGATCCCAGGCATTTGTGAGTGCTGTATATTGCTTAATTAAATCAATCCGAAGAGGAAGTACATGTGGCCAAGGGTGAAAATGCAAAGAGAACATGTTCTAACTTGCCTCATGAAGAAAAGATTAACAGTGAATCTAACAAAAATCTGGTATTCAGATTATCCATTGACTTTCCCTTAAAAAGCTTTCATTTAGTTTGAAACTGTGAAGATGGGCACTTGTTTTATGCAATTTAAATGAGAGGCATTAAAAGGTAAACCACTTAAAAATGCAATGGCTATTATTTATAACAAGAAAATCAAGACCATCGGTGAAGTACTGTTTCTGCTCAGATTCCAATTCAGGCACTCTCAGTTCATTTTCCTGAAGTACTGGGGTTTATTGAAAATTATGGTTAAAATACTTCAAATATTGTGTTTCCTCAAAAAGTTTATAACAATGAATATTTCACATATCTATGTATGAAGAGTATGTACAGATTTGTCTTCTGTTGTCAACCTTTGTAATTGATTATATATTTTTGTTTTTGTCATATCTATTTTAATTAACAATACTTATTCCTTATTAAATAATATCAGTTAGCAGAATTGCTTTTGTGTAATTTCAGAATATGGCAGTTTAGAATTTAATATGCAGATAGGACATCACTGTTAATTCTGCATAGGTTCTGTATGGCAGAGTGGCATGATGCCTAGCAGTTAGTATTGTTGTCTGACAGTTTTTGGGTCCAGGATTTTGATTCCAAATTGGAGAATCATCAGGGTGGAGTCTGCAGTCCCCTTGGGTCTACAGGTGCTTCAATTTCTTCTTACATTCCTGCCTCACACCTTACGTCTTGGAAATAGACACTGAGCTTTCCTTTGCTCTTTCTGACAATGGATGGATGTAGAACAGGGCATTGACGTGCACCTTCTTCTTTGTATTATCTGAGGAGAGATCACCAGCTGCTCTTTAGAGTTGATTCTGAATGTATGTGATGCGCAAGCAAAGCAGGTATGGTGATTTTTGAGGACACAGGAATGTGTTCTTCACCAGTCCTGTGTGGTACAGCAGGTAGCAGCTCTGTGTGAATTGGTCAGTGCTTGAGAATAGGAACAGTTCAACAAGAACAGAACCCAGAAACATTCTTTAACAAAAACAGATCCACAGCTCATAATGATTAAATACTATATTAATTGTATTATAGATCTTTTGTGCACATATTGTTTGTCTAAAGAACTCTTTAGTTCTGCGTAGCAGACAGGATTAAGTTTTTAATGTGATGAGAAAAATAAAAAGATACAAATAGATGCTCTTACGCTCAAACCCATACTTTGTTTCTAGGAAGGAATTCCTCCTCGAGTGAAACATCCTGCTACATCTCCTCACAGGATCTACAGAAGAAGCAGATGGAGTGTAAAAACACAAACAGAATGCCAATGTTATGTGCGTACCTCCATTGTCATATAGACAGTATACTGTACATTGCTTTTGTTTATATTTTTGTTTGTTTGGTTTATATATTTTATTGTTCTTTATAAATTTGTTTAGTTGAGTTGTGTAGGTTCAGAATTTTAAATGGAGACTTTTAGTATGAGGATCCTTTGTCATCTTTAAAGCACAAAGTATTAATCAGAGACCATTTTCATTCAAACTTTGTCTGGTTTGATAATAGACTATCAGGTCTGACATTACATCAAGTTGATTTAATTTTGTATTCATTGTACTAAAGGTTGTAGAAGAAATCATAGGTATAGTTTATCTTATAGTATTTAACTTTTATTGTTTACAATATTAAAGAATAATTAGAGAAACACATGATCAAACAGGACATTTGAAGACACACTTTTCTTAGGATATTAATATTCATTTTTTCCCCTATGTGGATCCTGTTCCTGTACAGTATATTGTTTTCAATAAGGTTTTGGAGTTGTCAGACAGTGGTTTTTATGGTTATTCTACATCATAAACATGAAACCTCACTATTAATGCTATTATTTTTGTGGTTTTATTTTAATTGTTGATCTCGTCAAATATACCTTGTGTTTTGGGAAATAACATTCTTCAAATAAACAGATTTAATTGGCATAGTATTATACATTAAGTTCACAATGATAAAGAGATAATAATAGACATGTTGTATATCAATGATTAAGAAGACCATTGTCTCTCATACAAATAAGAGCTAAAACCTGTATAGTTTCATAAGGATCAGTTTAATCTTTTTAAAAAAACATCCAATTCACAAAGCATGTGTATGGCAGCATTTTTCCTAATACTTCCCTTCATTTGCTATATGATAACATAAACACACTAGGTTTCAAAGAGACAATGTTTAAATGTCAGTTACACATTGGAAATATGTGTGACTGAGCACATAGGAATGATAATAAAAACCTAATCTAATACTGGCAGTGGTGAGTGATTCAGGCTCCTTGTACACTAGATATCCATATTGAAATACATGTCTGTGCATGCATTATGTATTACTCTGATTAAAACACAGTGTGACATTTCCTGTTTAATTTAGAAATCTCTCCAGGACAAAACTCAAAATCATTATCTTCTTTGATGCTTCCTTTGTGCTTATTTTTGGAGGTGTAGAAGTAATCTTCAACATTTCATTTTATACGTCATTGTGCAGCGAAAGTGAATACGTGGTTTCTTTGTAAAGAGATACTACCAACAGATGTAGTAAGCATTGTTCACATTACCTTTACAAATGACATTCTCACCTGGGAGGCCAGTATTGCAAAAGGCTTTTTAATGACCATTTTTTTCTTTTGTGCTTTCAATCTCTGATGTAATTATTGCTTTTAAGATCTACAACCATACATATGTCTTATTTCCATAAAAAGGCGGGTGCATTCACTTAAACTTTTTACATACTCTTGTAAGGCCTTCATTGTGAAAATTGTACTTGTCGGTTGCAGTTGTTTTCTCCTGTTGTCTGAATTTCAAAAAGGCTAACTATAGAAACAGTGACAACCAGTGGCAAGATTACATTGTGAGAAACTTGTTGTGCAATCTGATATGTTCAATTGAAATTCAATGCTTGTAGAGCAGGAAAATCTTTGAAGTATTTATTGCAGCGAGAATGGCAGTTAAACAACCTCATGGAATCAGTAGTGTCAACTCATTCTTCAAGTTGACAGCTAGATACAGGATATTATTAAAGTAGGTAAGACAGACCAACATCCAAAATGCCATAAAGCAAATGTGAGAGTAACTTGATTTTTGTTTTTGTCTTATTGCTGATTCAATTAGATTATATCAATTCAGTCATTTCAATTCTTTGTAAAATATCAAATGTTTATAAAATATGTATCTTTATAGCTCCCTACACAACCCATACCCTGTCCAAACATTCAAATTGGATGATATCTGATATAAGATTTGGAAATGTGTAGTCCTTTCTGAAGCAGTGCATCTCATTTCATATTCATTGAAGTCTAACAAGATTAAATAATGCTTAATCCTGGTACAATAACCCTCTTCTGAGAGAAAAAAAAAGATGGTTTTACTTTGCAGCTCATGGAGACATTTTGTTTACCTACACAGGAACATATCTATCCCACTGTAGGTACTTGTACTTGTTTTTTGAGAATATAACAGTTTATTGTGGCCATCAGGCTCAGAGTCTTAATGATCTATAATACCTTTCAAGACTTTCTTTTGTGACTTTAATAAGGCACACTTGCCAAAATCTTGACAATCCTCCTAACATAATTAAATGTCAATATGTGACGCAGAGCACACAGTCTCAAGAATAACTGGCAAGAGCCGAAGTCATGTTATAAAGGGCGTAGAACAAAAATGGTCAACTGTCCATCACGTAGTGATTCCTGAAGGGTATGCTATTGCTGCTGTGGACAAAAGGAAATGTTTCTGTTAATAAACTTTTCTCCCATTATATTAGAACTCAGAACTTGCTGAAACCAGCTTTTTTTACTCAAGGATCTCAAGAGCTTGCTCACACTGAGAAAAGCTTTTCATGACTACTTTATCTTAGATTGAGGTTTTCTAATATAAGCTGCAGGATCTATAATTCACACTAAACCTGCTGTGTCTCTTCTAATGACTACTGTGTGGTGTACAGTATAGCGCTTTTGTATTTTGGAAGTGCTCAAAATCTGTAAGTCCTCATTGTGTAAGTTAATTTAGAGTGACTCATCAAAATCAATAATTCATGTTTCATGGCCAGAAATAACAATAAAAGTTTTTATCTCATAATCATACTTTTCTTTAAAGTCTGTTAAATATCTATAATGTTGAAGCAAAGGTGACTCATGAATTATAAAAAGTAATAATATGATACAGCAGATTTACCCAGAAAAATGTATATTTTTTTTAACTTTGAGATTTTGTTTCAATTACATTTATACCAGGCAACACAGTGGCACAACGTTTAGCATTACTTGTTCAGCACTGAGGCCCTGGATTCAATTCCAGCGTATTACAGTATCTGTGTGGAGTTTGTTCTTTCCCTGTTCACATGGGTTTTTGCTGGTAGGTTAATTGGCTTATGGAAAAGGTGGCCCCAGTAGGAGTGTGTGTTTGTCTGTGCCTGTGTCTGCCCTGTGATGGACTGGTGTTGCATCCAGGGTGTATCCTGCCATGTGTTTTTTGCTTGCCAAGATAGACTCTAGTTCCCCCACAACCCTAAATTGGATGAAATGGTTAAAGAAGTGATAAATGGATGAAAAGGAATACCAGCATCTCTCAATGTTCCAGCTGAATTTTACATGCAATGGGAAAGAAAGTGATGTTATGAAAGTATTTAAATAGGATCTGAATGTTCTTGGCAATCTGTTGTGATTTCTACAATTTATTTGTCTTAGCAACATTAAAATTCTCTTTCAAACAGATTGTTATGAATTAGGGTCTTTAAAGGGTCTCCATTAATTACAATTGTCTATTTAATAGGAAGCTGTTGTTCTTCAGGAGCAGAAGATTAGGGATTGTTTTCATAGGCAAAGAGAAAAAAGATACAAGATGGTTTGAGTACTAGGCATGTACTAACATCTTTGGTTGTAAAATTGTCTATTTAATTATTATTTTTGACTTCTAAGAGCTGGCAGTTTTAATGGATTTAATTAGAATGTCTCAGGGCTGCCATCAGGCACTAAACTGCAGAAATGGTTAGCTTATTACTAAGTCCCAAGACCCATATTTAAACAAATATAAGGTATTACTGTATATCCTTACAGACTGAATGCAATAATTGCTCAGACTTTTCACATTGGATGCATAAAAGTATTACCTCAATATATTTGTTTCTTAATGTAGCTCTAGCAGAAACAAAAACTTAACACTTGCAGCTAAGGTGGTACTTGAGATGCTGTAATATACAGAAACTCATATTTTGTTTTGAGAACCACTTGATATCAGTAATTTCTTTCTATTGGTTGTTAAATATTGTCCATTAACACTTACAAGCATATTTACACCTTATCATAATTTGTCCATATTCATTAATTGTTAATTTATATGAAGCTGAATTCAATCTTATTTCAATCTCAAAACATATGCTTTACTGTTTATTGACAGAAGCATTACCACCTGTAGTCTAATCCTGTCATATCTCAGAAGCTTTGCAAGGATCAGCCTGATCACCACAGGTTTGTGAGACCCTAAGGTAGATCAGGTTATTCCTATTGTTAGTGATGTTTATTGGATCAGATTTGCAATACCGATGCCCCTGTTTGATAGAGGAACACTTTTCTGTAAGAGGTTCTCTCCTTCGGATGAGGTATTAAATTAGTCCAGATTAATTCTTCAGATCCCCACGACCCCATAGACTAAATTCTACTTTGTGCTTGTACTGTACAATCATGCCCCTGGAAATATATATGATTATTAAAGTAATTGACCCTGCCCCTAATTTCACAACTGTTTTTTTCCTCAGTAAGACAACAATAAAATAAGGAGTTGAAGTAATTGATAGATACAGATGAATATATATATATACAGTATATACTGTATACTGTGAATAGCTAACTATAGGCTGGGCAAACACTACATGTGTATTTTTTAATAATTGGTTTACTTTTGTTTTTTCAAAAAAATAAGGTGTATTAATCTTAGCTTGGCAAGAAACATGTTCAACAAACTGCAAAGAGGGAATTTTACAATAACGTTTTAATCCCGGTACAAGAGTCCTTCTGTAAAAAACAGCAGAGTACCTTTAACATATTCATATTTTTCCTGTAGATGTTTTTCAATTGGTTTCAAAATTTGATTTATATCTAGATGTTCAAAAAATTATAAAATTAAATGTAGTAAGAAATTGAGCACTTTTTCTACTCAGGTTTTATTGAAAAATTGCAGTCCTGCAAAAATCTATTTGAGCAGCTAATTAAACAGCTCTTGAATATATTAAGCAGCTTGTACTGTATTTCTAAGAACTAGCAGAACCAGTTACAAACAATTACAATATAAATCAGCTCAGCCTTTTGGCTTAAATATGCAATATCAACAATATTAACACTGTGGATTCTGGCTCACATGCTTTTTGAATTTAGAGTGGTTTATATCTGAATTAAATTCCATGGAATATGTCCCATATCTTCTTCAGTGAATTGTTTTCAACTTTTTTCTTTTGTTTTTTGTTTTGTAAAATTATAGTGTATAGTATTTATTAATGTCCTAGTTTGTGTCCTGGAATGTCCAATGATTAGAGAATATGTAAGTTGTTTATGATTATTATTGATTATTCTTGATGGTGTTAATTAAGAAATCTTAAAACAAATTGAATTTTTGCATATGTATGTTATTTCTAACTTTCTAAATTTCTAAATAGTTTAAAGTTTTTCCCATTATCTGCCGCTTGAGGGAGCCCTTGCCCAGAAACTGGGTGAATATATGTGCAGGTAGTGGTTTATCCAGTTATCCTTTTCAGGGAAAATAAGTAAAGAAGCACACTGGTAGGGAAGAATATATAGGTCACAGTTATATGATACAAAGTTCAAGACAATAACTTGTTTACAAGAAATATCATCTGCCAAGTCTTTTCTCAGTCTGAATTTGTTCTTAATCATTTGATTATCTTCTGTTAGTATTTTCTGATGTTTTTGCCTATGATTTAAATATTTTTGCCTTTGGTTTAATGTGTAATATAGGTAAGCGATACATAAGTAGAAAACTTCAGAAAACTTAAACAAGAAAACAGTTTAGATTCTAATCAAGTTCTCCCTTTAACCAGTAATTAAGTCTTTGTCTTTATCTTTGGCTCTAGGAGTTATGAACTTGCACTACAGTATATGAAATGTTTTTAACATTTAGTGACTATTGCATTACTAAAACATTATTTTTTAAGGTTATGTTGGCCAGGAATGTTCAAAACATGACACATGTTAAGCAATCCTAGTCAAACAGAAAATTGGCTAGGCTTAAGGCCTGCAAGCAATTTTCAGCTCTTAACAGTTAAAGTTATGAAGTATACCAAAGAGAAATATATTTTAAATTATAGGAACTGGCACAAATTTAACACTGCACGTGTATTATACAGTTCTTCTTTGCTGGTAGATATCCATTTCAGACTGAAGGGTGTTTGTAAAAGCAAAATTATTTGACATTAAAAAATCAATATGTTGATGATGTTTTTCTCTTCAGAATAAGATTGAGTTACTTCGAAATAAGGAGCCCCAGCAAGGATTTACAGGAGCTGTTCTTAAGGTTAGTCAATGCACAGTTTAACTTAATTTATGTACATTATTGAGAATGTATAATGTATAAGGATTTCTTGCGACACAATTTCCCCTATTCCATCAATGTGTATATACCACGAATATTCTAGTGCTTTTACAGCTGTAGGTTATTCAGGAATAAATGGAGTTTGCTCAAGACAAATACTGTATGCCCACATGGGTGAGTAATGGCCTATTTATTACCAGGTATAGCAATCCTGGAGTCAGTGATCCTCCCTGCATTCACACACAGTTACTCCCGAAGCACCCACTCGCTCACAGCCAGTCCTACCCAACAGGGTCTGCATCTATAGGAGCTGGAAGGCAGTCCCACACACACACTTGCCCACTCATACCAGGGCTACAACACACACTGTGAACGGCACAGGACAAATGTAGGCACCACAAGAACAAGAACACCACAAAATCCTAACAATAATGCTGCAGCTGTCCTGCTGCTAACTGTCCCAGAAAATGAGTATCTCTCAGTCTAATTAGGCCACATCACACTCTCTGCACTCTGTGCTTTAAAATGGTAACATAATGACAGGACAGCAAAACACATGCTATAATTTTATGTACAATTGGAAAAAAGTGTTCAGATGATTGGATAATATTATAAAACTCTATTAAAATCGATTTTTGGTTTTCTTTTAGCTAAATTGCGGAGGGAATACCTAAAACAATCCTGTGAAATTATCTTTTCATACAGTATTGATTGCGGACAAAAAGTGTTTTTCCCCAGTTTTTCTTCAAGCAGGCTACATTGGATCTTGTTAAAATGCCAATCAGACAGCATTAAGGAGGTTTCCATGACTACAAGCATGCTGGCTTCTGTGGTTGAGTGACAGAGGGTGATTAGTAGAATTCACCGTGTGACTGAGGGAAATAAATGTAGTGGCAGATCTGACAGAAATTTCTGGAATAATGACATCTGGAAGCATAGAAAACAGTAACTTCTGACAGTATTGTATATTAGTGAATCAGAATCACACTGCCTTGATATTCAACATTTCAACTATCTGGCACATTATAATTATAATTATATGATTATTATTATTAATAATAATAATAATAATAATAATAATAATAATAATAATGTTACCATCAATACCATGTTTTTTTCAGTTTTAGTTTAGATTATTTTATTAATCCGTATTTAATTGCATATTAACATAAATATTTTATTTATTATTAATTATATAGATAATTGGCCATTGCTTTTTACTTTATTCTTTAGTTCATTTCAAAGGTGACAGAACATTTAGGCTTTTTATTTTGTGATTGTTCCCCTTAGTGCCTATATTTATCTATGTTCTGTCACATCAGACCGATTTTTAACTTTGAAAATTTACAGTTAAGATTCACTTGGTTAACACCACAGGATGCACAGCTTGATCCTCATTATCATCTCACGTTATGGAGTTCTGACGGAAGGTGTACCGGAAATTTGGGAGAGAGGTTGGATCTCAACCTTGCACACTTCCACTCGTCTATGTATGTGAGTCTTGCACCCAGGACTCCATTCCGCGCGTCTCCCTCACATCTCCCCCACCCCCCAGTGAACACCCCTGCAGCAGGCTCCCTTCTGCAGCTCAGGAGGGAAGGTTTGGACAGCTTATTCAGCCTTGGAAAGGTTGCCTTTCCCTTAGCTAGGGGAGGGAGCTACTTTATACAGTATATTTGTCTCTCTGGTGCATTCAATGGCATCTAACCAAAACCAAAGTACTGAAATATTGGTTGTATTACTTGAGAAAAAACATAATTTGATACAGTAGGTTGATACAGAGTTAGAGAAACAGTTGCAGGTAGGATAATGAAATGTAATTCCATAACTGGAGACATCTCGGTATGCTCTGAAAAAAAAAGTCAAATGTGCTCTCCTTAAATTAAAAACCTGTTTTTTTATTTTTTACCGGCTCTGGAAAACAGTCTTGACAGTGAAAAGACTTCAACCAGAGAGTGTGAAGTGCAAACAAAATGGATGCCAGCTAGACTGTTCCTTAAGTGTTTATCTTTCTGGACAGGCCTTTTTTCTCAAAGAGCAAACATGCTCAGTTACAGAAAGAGATGTTTGCACAAGATGTTCTGTCATGGAAAACACTTCATTCTTTGGGTCTGCAATGGTCAGCATGACAGACGGTCTTTGTAATTAACTTACCCTCCTTTTGATCTGACTAAGCTACAGTACATTTCTATTTAGGAAAATGATAAACACGATCTGAAGTGTTTGAACATGTTAACAGCGTAATGTGAGTTTGCCCTTCAATCTCACAGGGAGCTCCTCGTAAAGGTTATTGTTGTCTGTTGGTTTCCCGTTTTCTTTTTTTTGGCTGTTGTAGCCATGTACAGTATGCTTAAAAACTGAAGATCTTACCCCGCAAGCACTGAATATTTTATGCTTGATTCTGTTAGAGCTCTTGAATGACAGGATAAGCTTAGCTATTTTCAGATGTGATGTGAGCAGTCTCCAGCCATGCAGTAAAATAGTTTATTTGTTATTATTAATTTATGTAGCTATTGCTTTTATCCAAAGCACATTAATGCTACCAAATTCCTAATGCAAGAAATTGTATATGGCTAACAAAGTGATCTTGTCTTATGTACTGTATACAGTATATTCTATAACTTATTTTATTTATGTAAATATTATTGATATGTTTTGGTAATAATTCACACAATTGGGTTTGCTGGAGGGTAAAGCACCCTACTTAGGAGCTCATCATCAGTGTCCTTTGAATGACAGGCCTCCACTATTGCACACATTACTGTGTCAAAAAAGTAAACAATGGTTTTACCTAAACCTATGTTATAATACAGTACATGATCAATCAGAATCTAGTAGATTATCATTATTATTCTGTATTTTTTTAATAAAAAAGGTTAAAAAATTACTGTTTTCACACTCTCAGGCTACATGTGATAGCTAGAATACATTTTCATGAAAAATCCTTCAACACCTCCTGTAGTACTTGTACAATTTTCACTCTCTCCAAACTCACACAGATATTGTGCTTTTCATTAATATGGATACATATGTGACATGTGGTATATGAAAGTCTATTTTAACCCTGCAGTGTATAATTGCTGTAACATTCTTTTCTATTAAGGCATTATATATCACTTTCATATAATGTATAATCTATACAAAAAGGAAAACATGCAGCTGTTTTAATGAAATAAAGTAATCAATTCTACGCTCTCTATTGTGCTTGTTTTAACATTTTATCAGCCTTTCCATCCAATTTAATTGTGGTTGCTTCTGGCTCTCGCGTATCATATACGGAAATGTACTGTATATGGTATTGCTTGTTGTATATTTATGTTTAGATAGTTTCGTTGTTTCAGGGGAGCTTCTCTTAAGGGGAGCTACATACTGAGAAACCATTCACAACCTGAGGCTATTTCTCTCTAAAACAGTTTCTTTATTGTTTTAGAGAGAGATGCTCTACGGGTGGATCAATAAATCATGCTTATTCAGAGGCATAAATAGAAAAAACATGTTTGTTATGTACACTTTTTTGTTTCCTGATGGCACTTTTATCCCTGTTTGATTTTATGTATTTGTATTATTTTAATAGATTATGGAATCATTAGGTTGTTTTTTTTCTGTTGTTACATGGCGAAACTGTACTCAGCCTTAGCGACAGTGGCAAGACTGCTGTGCCTTGTGAGTTTCGTAGCAACTAAAAATTAAATTGGTAGCTAATGGAAGAAATGTAATGCAGCTGTTCTGAAATAGTGGTTTAAAAGTATCAAGGTGGTATCTTTGGTTCAGTGAAGTCTCTGGCAATTGATTTTTATCTTGAGGAAGAATACAGAGCTGTCCTTGATGGATCTTCTACAGAGTGAAAAGATTTGAGCTTGATTCTGATTTTGATTAGAAAATAAATCATGCAGGATTTCCTCAGTGTTATTATAGCTTTGCTTTAATAAATGATCTCTCTTACTCATTTGTCAATATGAGCATCGCATTAGTGCTGATGTTGTTACAGGTACTGAGGGCAGCTGCTTCTTCTATTCAAAACTGCACTTACAGTACATGCGATGCCTGGTCAAAATATATCCGCCCTAATGGGTTTTCAAACAAACTGCACAGTCTTGGGTTTTTGCTATTGCTTTTGTTCTCAAAGCAGGATTTTTACATTAAAAACATTGACAATTCTATTGAAGAAATGTTGGACATCTTGTCCTTCAAATCTGATTATTTAGTTTGAAATTTCTGAAATAAAAAGCTTTCATGTACACAGTATACAATATTTAAACTCATATTGTTGTGTGGCATAAAGTAACTGGCACAGACACAGAGGAATGAAGAATTTGATGTTGCAGAACATATATACTTTTGTTGTTCTCCTATACTGTAGGGAAAATGTAAAGGAGCATAAGATTTGTTTTATCCCTGTCTTCTACATTTACAGTTTCATAAGTAGCTTCTACAAGGACTCTGTTTCCCATTTTGTATCTGCACTGCTTATGTTTTTGCTACCTTAATGTGATGCTCTGCACATTTATACATCAAACATTACCTTCCAGTCTCAAGATTTTCTTTAATATTCTTTGTAGCTACAACAGTGTTTGCTTATTCTCGTATTTTTGCATCATTTGTAAACTTAATTACCATGGATATGAAACACTGCTGGCCATTTTCAGAGAAAGAAAAAAGATTGAAACTGTACTTTTGGCGACTTCTTTGCTTGGTTATTATTAAGCATACAAAATATGTTTAATCTTTCATGTTGTTTTCCTTTTATCCAGATTGGTTTCCAGAACAAAGTGTGACATCACACCCCCTATATAAACACTGCTACATGATTTCCTTGTGTTGCTATTTCACCTCTCACAGTTACCACTATGCATCAGGAAGAAAAAACAGGAAGGTGTGACCTTCACTTCCCTTTTAGAAATAAATCACCAAACGTTTTTACCAAAAGGAAAAATACATTTCTTTCCTAACACTGCTAAGCATTGAGTTGCACAAAACAAACTGTCACAAAACACATCCAAGAAAAATGACTTACTGTGTGTAGGTAGGGTGATATTTCAAAAGGAGCACAGTGTTAAATTTGAAATGCACTGGAATGTATTGGGAACAGCCAATGGAAAACAATGTGTAACTGTCAGATAACAAGACAAAATTGTCTGTGAAACAGTTAGTGCTGCTCTTCATTCTAACCCTTTTTATGATTCTATTTGGAAACATCATCCACTGAAAATGTGCAAAAAGAGAGCATTGTTTATGTAGATTCAGAAATAGCCCGTTTAATTAATCCATAGACAAGGTACAGTAAAATATGTTCATATATTGTGCAGCTTTGTAAAATACATTATGCTTTACAGTATATTTGGGATATTTCATTTTATTTTCCTTTTCACCATGTAAACAGATAAACCCCACCCAAGTGTTTCTAATGAAGTAAATACATCTCTCTTCAACTAAATTATTAGTGGAACAATTTTAACCTTTTTAATCTTGATGAGTCCATCATTTCAGGATGATGTACTGGCTTAGGAAACCACAGTAAAGAGTGAACAAAATCTAATAGTGCTACACATTTCTCACAGCTTTAGTCCCCTTTTTTATTTTTCTAAGAGTACTGTTTTTTATTGATATTTGAGGCGTGCATGATTTTAAGAAAAGTATTAAAAGAATGAAAAACCAAGGTTTGATTTTAGATGTTGCTGTAAACCCTAAGGAACCACTGATAATGATATACACTCATACATTTTTATCATCCTTTTCCCAACAGCCAAAGGTGAAGTCTGTCATTGGGGAAGAAGAATTGCCTCCATTCAGCCTGACCAAGAAGGCTCTCCCAACAACAGAGGAGCTGCGAAAACTGACAAGGTAATACATTATAAACCTGAGCAGTTTTTAAAGCGGCTTACTATCAGAATACAACAGCAAATATTGATACGATGGCTCCAAGGTCATTGCATTGTGAAGGATCTTGCTTGTTGTCAGATGAATTTGACAACCTTTTGATTATAAGTATTTTAAAATGCTTTCTCAAAAAAATGAACAGTTCATTTTTTTAGCTGTTTTCTTTTTTTTTGTTCTTTAGTTTTATTTATGTTTATTTAGTTTTCTTTATGCTTGTATACAAAGTCTGCACAAATTCTATTTATGTATAGCCTCTGCTGACCTAATTTTGAATGTCCCATTAAAAAACAGGACTGGAAGAAGTTCATGTTCTTGTTTCACTGGTCTGTATTTTCACACATAGTTAACAACCACAAACAGAATTTCTACAAAAACAAGGTTGCTGTGTGGGATGTTGTAAGTGCTGCCCTGAGGAGGAGACATCAAACTGAAAACACAATGTTAATTGAAAATCCCTCAACACTGTTTGTAGGTGTAAGGGTTTTAACCTCAAAGTTCTGGCTAAATTCTACTTTGAACTTGTTCACTCTGACCTACCAAAAGATCCCCCTTACTTCAGCTGCTGCAGCAATTACTCACTTCTCTGCCTCATCTGCAGTATATTGTGGCAGCTGGTGCATAATGGTTCCTGGAATTGGGTGGTGAATGAGAAAGGTTCACTCCTATATACAAAGAACTTTGTGATCCTTCAGTAAAGCTCTACACAAATACGATTATGTAAAACTAATTATAATTCTTAATGCAGAAGCTCTTGGAAAGGTATTTACAATGTTCTGTGTACTTGGAAGCATGTGATAACAAGTACCAGACTAAAGAAGAGAACCAAGACTTTTTTAAAAAAGGAGAAATAGAACATTTCCAATTATTTGCCATTCATACCGGTACAAATGGAATCTTGAGAGCTTTTCTTCATTTGCTTGTCACTTGCAGTCTGAAGCAAAATTCTATACAATATGCTTCTAAATAAAGAGATGTTTTGACTACATTGAAGCTCCCCATATCTTTCTGGTTAATATATATATACTTTTCACAATATCACCTGTAAACTTTGAAATTAGTGATAACTGTTCATTGCTGACCTGGAGTGGGTCTGCATTTTGTTGCATTGTAAAAAAACACTGATGTCAAATGGACTCTTTTTTTCCCTTGTTCCTACTTCTCTTCATAATGACATCTTCTTCATTACTTCAATTTGTTTTATTTTCAGAACAGAAAAAAGAATTTCAAGTTAACAAGGTTTTTCTCCTTTTAAAATCAATCTAAACGTATGCAGAATGATCAACTAAAATTATTTGTTTCCTTTCCTTCTGACACTTATTTAGAGTTACAGCACAAAGGTTCTTAATGCAATACAAATGGTCTGGAGGGGGAGGGGTGTCAAACAGATGATGTGTTCACACATTTGTAACCCTGAATAACAGCTGTGTTGGATAATGTGCATTAAGGTGCCTTTTGAAAATTAAAAAAAAATCCACTGAAGATATGAAAAGCCAAAGTAAAGATGCAAATACCTTTGTGTTTATCATATTGACTACACCACTAATAAACCAGTAAGGAAGGAGATGATGATCAGCTTGCTGTTGACAGCTGAACTAAATGTAAACTAAAAGGAAGCCTATTTGTGAAGCGACTCTAAGGCTAGAGACCAAAGTGTTTTTCTTGTTAAGCAGTGATAGGAAATGGAGCGGTGTTTCATCAGAGTAGTGCTAGTATATCTCTACGGCACATTAGACACAGCTTGCTAAATGGAAGGTAAATAACTCTTCAGATTTGTAGCTGCAGCTGCTGGCCTAGAAATCCGTCTTTGTGATGTTCGTATTAATGAATGGAATGAACTGAATTAGAGACCAAGGAAAACCTTCAGCAACAGCCCCCTCAGGAGATCATAGCTAAGCTAAAGCTAAGCTCTAGGCAGGGATTTCAAGCTGAGAACTTTTTTCGTTGAAAGCAAACTATACAGAACTTTTTCATTAGATTTGTCTTGTATTAAATGCTTCATAATTAAGCCCTTTGTCCAATTATAGTAGTCTGTAACTGAGAGTTTATTTCAGATTTATAGTTAACAGTTTCATTGCACTTTTGTGACCCTCCATGTTTCCTGTACTGTTAAAATTGAAGACCAATGCCATTTAATATCTGCTGACTGAGTTGGGAGGAAGGAGCAGCCATTAACAGCATGGGCGGCTGTCACACATGAGCAAACTCAATGCATGTCACCACTCCAGCTGGAATTCCCTTAGCTTGGGAGAGCAAAGAGGCACACTGCCATGAAATCACAACTGTATGAATCATTAATGAATTTCTGTTATAGTATAAAAATAGTGTGACCATGAACTGTATCATCAAATGTGGAATTGAAGTAGGAAATACTACTGAACTTGGATTGCCTTGTATTGAATTGCCTTGAGCATCAAATACTAAATGATAGAATAGCACATACTGTAATAGAATTATGAGTGTGAAAAACAAGCCCATAGCTTATTTATCCATACATTTTTAACTGCTTCATCTAATTCAGGTTTGTGGGGAAACTGGAGTCCCCTGCACAGGGAGCCAGTGTGATAATATGAAAGGTTGCAGAGCACACACAGATACACACACGGTCACACCTAGGCCAGTCTTTCTCAGAAGCCAATTAGCCTTCCAGTTCTGTACTGTATGTCTTTGGAATGTGAGAGGAAAGCAGAGCATCTGGTGGAAATACAAACAAGTGAGTGCTTCTGGAAAATAAAAGAAACAGCATATCACTTGTACTAATAAACTCTTCCTCCGTCTCCTCTGTCTCTTCCTATGCTCCTTAAACTAAACTAAAAGACCCTTGCCTGGCACCCCAAAGTGTCACAATACCCCAATACCCCTTTGAGAGGATGTACTGTAAATGTGCAGGGGATTTTGTGAAGACATTTCAGAGCATGTGGTGATAACAGCCAATGACATTTCCTTTATTTTTCTGGTTACTTATTTCAATTTGCCTGCCTGAGCCTTCTTGGTCCAGGGTATGTAGCATTGCCTTACAGTGTTGGGGTCACTAGCTTGTCACTCTGATGTAATTCAGAACACTTCTGACAAGCTGGAATGTCACCTGTGTGCATGCTCATACAATCAGGCCTCATCTTCCAATCCAGTGTCAGAGCACAATGAATAGGGTCAACTGCTTCATGTCCTCTTGTAGTTCACAGAAGCTGAGTGAGATGACAGAAGATATATTATGATCACAAGAATCCTGTGACTTCTATAAAAAGGCATTGAAGGTCAAAGAGTAATTTATCCCTGCCAGATACAGTTACCATCAAGTTTTGTTTTCTGGGGGCATTTACACAATGTTAATATTGTCATAATCTGGTTATACAGACTTTACTGAATCTCCTGAGAATGTGTTTAGAGGCAGAAGCTGTACTTAATGCTGATGAGGTGGCTGCATAAAGGAACAGCTATTTTGTAATGAAAGCATTATCAGCTGTAGCCTATGGTAATAGTAATCTTTCTTTTAATAGTAATCTTTTCTTAATTCTTTGATATGTTCGTGGGATCTGAGAATAATCACCACAGCCATTGTGTGCAGAATACTATAGTAAACCTTTGTACAGTATACTGGTAATTAAAGTGGTTATGATGTGGTATGATTTGTCAGCGTAATTACAACTACTGATGAAAAATAAAAGATGGCCTATTTTCACAGGCATCTGCCAGATTATCATCAGGTATGATTAGTGCAGGTCTCTAAAAAGGGTAAAAAAATTCAAACGTTTATTGTGACATGCAGCTGAATGTCAAAAGCCATGGGTGTTAGTCATGCTTGTCTTCTCTAAAGCTGGAAACCATCAGCAAGCATAAATGCTCCTGTGTTTAAATGTCACCCCTGCTCATGGATTTCTTCCAAGTAAGAAGCAAAAAAAAAGTAATAGTTAGTCATTTCCATGGGTTATATCAACTGATATGGTACATTACAGCTAAGAATTGCCTTTTTCTGTAACAATCACACAAAATTGCAGGCAGTATGGTGTTGTGGTGGTTAGCATAGCCTTTACATTGCCTCATGGTATTTGAGTCCTGTATTTGATTCTAGCCTGAAAAACATTCTACAGTATATGGCCAAATGGGTTTTTGCTGGAAGCTCCAATTTCCACTCGCAGTCCACAGATATGCTGTCTAGGTTGGTTATCCTTGTGTGAGTATGTGTGCTCATACAGCAATGGACTTACAATGGAATTGTAAATTGTTTACATTGTCTCCTGTGCCTTGTTCTTGTTTCTCTGTCAAATCATTCTCCAGCTTTCCCTTAGTGGACTTAGCTGTTATTGAAAATTTCCAAATGCATTTATGTGCTTAAAAACCTCATTTAAAATGGAGAACAGGAGGCAGTTCCTTACCAGAGAGCTGTGGATGAATAAAATGATGTATTCATAGTGTTGAATCTGACACCTTGGCTTCTTTCAAGAAACAGCTGCGGGAGATCCTTGGATCGATCAGCTACTGCCTACCAAAAGTGATAGGCAGAATAACCTTTCTGTTCTTATGCATGTATGTTCATCTTAAAGAATTGCAAACCACTTTACTTTATGTGCAGCCCTACATTATGCACTAGCAGTGCCACATCATGGAAGATCAGGTAGAGGTAAATTCATGTTGAACGTTAGATAGGAAAGATTGTGCAAGCCGTAATAGAACTTAACCAGTAAACGTCTGCTTTTCTGAAAAATGACCTGAGAAGTTTAAAGGCCAAGTAGTCTGGACCTCAGTCTAATCTCTCCAGGAGATGGCACCTCCTTCAGTGCCACGTCCCTGGACACCATATTGAAGTATTGTTTGAAAATTCTTGTCCAGAAGAAAGAGTGCCACCTATAGGTCCACTAGTCCAATATTGCTTCTCACATGATGAGAAGTGATAAATTATCACTCCTTGGTGTGTTGGAATCAATCTACTTTTTGGAATGGAATATACAGTATGTTGCTCAGACCTACTA